TGAAAGGACAGGCTAATACCTGCCAGCAGCCAGGGTGATTTGAAACCCTGACTTTTTCCAGCTCTCCACAAAGACTTGTGTTACTCAGACTCCTGAGGTCTCTTCAGATTTTTGACACTACAAACACAAGAGGAAATCTTGTGTCTTCTTTTGTCATGCCTCCATGGCACTGATAAATTATAAATCTCTTTTTCTGCCATACTCCGGTAAATTCTTGTTCTTTTTGAAACTCAGGTCGTGGCAATCCCATCTCAGTGTGAACTCCATGTGAAAGAAAGAAGTCCAGAACAGTAGCGTTGTTGGCTTGCCATTGCCCTGTTTGTGCTTACACTTCCTCTCCAAATCTTATCTGTGTTTGTATGATGAGTTCATTTCCCCAGAATGTCCCTTTCCACCCTTCGTTTTGGGTCCAAGAAGGTCACAGATGCAGTATTGCTAAAGTAGGCAGGGCTCTTGGAGGAGACCTCTACATACAAAGAATTTGAGCTGGAAAGGACTGATATCCTACAGCTGCAGGGGAACCACACAGCACTGCAGTCTGCTCAGGTGAACTCTACAGTGTGGATTCTCATGGGCATCCTTCCTGCAGTGAGTAGAAAAAAGCAAGAAATGAACATCTGTCGCCCTCCTTTCTCGTGGGATAAACCAATGGACAATCTTCAGGGGTAACTTTTCATTCTCCAGACATCAACAGCAACCACAGAAACGTCTTAGCAGACATCCATCATCAGTCAGCTACTGTGAGTGGTCTCCTAAGAGCTGCATCCACCAGCCATAGTTTCCTCAGTGGAGAAATGCCATTATAGATTGTTTATCACAAAAGGCAGCATAAGCGTCTGACCATTTGTTTTGTTGAAAAATATGAATTTACTCTGTCACATCCTGGTGCCAGCATTTCAAACACAGATTTCCTCTCATCTCTTCTAACCTTGGGCTATCAGACAAAACTAGAAGGCTGCAGTCAGGTCACTGCATTCACTGAGACAACTCTGACTAGCAAAGCAATAATAACACTTTGCATTTAGCTGCAGAAATGCTCTCCAGATCGAGCCAGGCCAAAGTTTTCCGCAACATAAATGTCGGATTCTCTCTTGCAAAAAGAGATTCTTCCCTGAGAATGAAATTAAAGGATGTTTTACTCCTCAAACATTAGGGGAAAAAATCAGTTTGTACTTCGAGCAAAGAATGGATACTCCAAGGGAGCTGAACTCATCTTCAGTGTGTTCTGTGGTATTAAAAAATTACTACCATCAGCAGTGGTGGTAATGGGAATGCTGCCTGCCTGGCCTGTCGTCTTGGTGGCAATCAAGCTTCTACAGCTACCAAAACATACTTACCCAGCAGTCCAGGAGCCTCCTTGGATATATTGATTAAACATATGCTGCACAGACCTGATGACGCTCCCCTTCAGGCATTTCTAGGTGCTGCTCCTCTGCATAGCCATTATAGCTGTCAGCAAACCAGCCAAAACCCCCAGGGAACTCAAACCTCTCAACATGGTCCTTCATCTCCAGTGTTCCACAGGGATGAGGTGGGGTTAATATATCTCTTTGCAAGAATTTTCTACTAAAACTTTCATTTGAATCTGTTTGTTAACACACCCTATTGTTTTCTTCCAAATCATTATCCAGAAGATATTCTAAGCCATGGATATTTCACAGGGCTTTGATGCTACCAGGACTATACAAAGTGTTCAGTCTTTTTGCTTCCACCTTTACAGCTCTGAAAAGCCACATCATGCCTTCTCAGAATTTCAGAATGGATTGCATAAGAGCATAAATATCATACAATATTGACTGTTACATATTGCCCTTGAAAGACTGAGACTGGTTCTCCTGGAGTGCAAATTTTATCTTCTCCTGGCTTCTAAAGCACAACCTGTTAAAACACTATTTGCTTGACTTGATGACAGTATCAGACACCAAATCTGACATGTGAGACAGTATGGAGGTCCAGCAGGACCTGGAGGGGTTATGGTCTCTGTAAATAGCCACCAGTAAACCTTACTTCCACCTACCCAGGCAGAGCATGATTAACAGGAACACAAGTTACTTTCTGCTGTGCTCTCTTGAGATTTTAAGTATCTCTCCATCAAATAAACCTGTCTTCTTTCCCAGACACTTCCTTCCCTGGGATCCTGACTTCATACTGGGCATAAGCTGTGCCTTTCTCTTGTGTGCCTGTGGGGGCTTTAAGGATGCTCACAGGTTTGCAGCAGCTCAAGCAATGTATCTGCTTAAAATTCGGTGTTCTAGTACACACTGAGCGTAGTTAAAATGAGATGCACGCAGGCAACAGTATCCTGAGGAGCTTTTCAGACACGCTTCAGGGATCACTCAGTCTTTATCCTACTGAATCTTTACTTGGGCTTCTAGAACATGCTCTTCTCTTTCTTGACCTCTTCTGCTCCTTAGCATCTCTGTTTAAATATAGCATCTCTTTTTAAATATAATGACATCAAAAGAAATAAAAAAATATTACCCAAACAGTTTCAGTGCAGTCATCCTCTTGAGAGTCTTTACACTGACACATCCTGCTTCAGATATTTCTCTTCCCACTCTTGGGCTGCAGGTTCCCTTCTACATCGCTCTAAATACGGGCCTGGACTTGTTTGTGATTTATACTTCAAGTCCCTTTTCCGTATGATGGAAGTTGCACAGAACATCATCTCTGACTGATCTCACTGTTTCAGACCTTTCTCATTCACTATGTGCATCCTACTTGTGTCCCAAATGACAAGAACAAGGGTAGAAGGCTGGAAGTTCCTTTGCAGGAAGAAGAGACTGCATGTCTCTTCCTTAATTAAACACTACAAACAAGGATGCTTTCTCTTAAGTGGTGCAGCTTCTCCAAAAGCTCTTTCAATGACATTAAACAGGCCAGGATTTGTTTTTCTACGTTATTCTGAGATTTGTAGAAATGAAATCCTGTCCACTTCACGTGGGCAAGAGACACTGGCTTTAATTCCAAGTACCTGTCACCATGCTTCCATCCCTGGGAACTGATGTGACTACTGCATTCTCAGGTGTCAGTGGCCTGTCCTTGCCCTAAAATTGGCATACCCACATCACTTGCAAGGTTGAAGACTCTCAGAAAATCTGGCGGTAGCAGAAACCTTCCCCATGCTGCTTTTGAGCCTCTACCATAGGTAGTGATATAATTTGCTCCATATTTGACCCAACTTAAAACACAGGCCAGTTAGCTCAGGGAGTAAGAGAGGAGTAAGTCAACTTCTGCTTCCCTTTCTCAGCAGTGCCAAAGATGCTCAGAAACTTCGGGTTTACTACATGATGCCAACTCCTCCAAACTGAGCATCCGATATCAATCTCATAAAGTCATATGCTCTTATACATATTTTTTTTACTCACATTGCTATCGTCTGCACTTTCTGATGCAATACTAACAAATATCAAAATGACAGTTAAGGTATGATATTCCACAGTAACTCAAAAGGTTTTTTCAGCCTGTCAGTGACAGATCCACCAACACTGCCAGCCAGGAAGGATGGAGAATCCTGAAAGGTGCTGAAAGTTTTTAGGCTTCCTTCCTTTATTTTGAAAGGCCTTTGTACCTTCTAACAGGAATGTAGCAACTAGCAGATTAAGGCTCCTTCCGCTATTAGAAAAGATGATTTGCAAAACTATAAAAAGGAAGGGGGATGGGAAAGAGAAACTCTTTGCTGGAAAGATGTTTGCCTAGCAACACAAAATCAAAATCTATGCCTGACCTGTAAGAAATGTCTCTATGGGCACTGCTCCTTTATTTGGTATTCAAGCCAACTTTTGCTTGTATGTGATCTGAAAACACAAGAGCAAACATGTAAAAGAGGAAGATAAAAGCAATGAAAGCTGTCATTACCAAACCAATGAGTTAACTCAAAAGACTATTACATGATCAGGTGTACCTTGGGTTTTTAATTGTTCCTTTTTGGCTATATCACCAAATAGACTATGCATCTAAACCACAATTGTTATTTAGGTAATACAGTGTCAATTGGTTCCTGCAGCATCCTTGAAGAGCAGGAGCATGCTGCAGGAGTCCTGCATGCCACTAGAAGGGAAATCTGTCACTGGTGGAAGAAGAAATACATCAATTTCCACTTGCTAATATAGTCATGGAAAGTGATGACAGACAGATTTGGTAGAGGTTAGGCCTGAAGGATTATGTTACTATTGAACTGAAGGATTCCTGATAAAGATAGTTGTATTTAATTTCCAATTCTGCTTCTTACACCTAAGGATATTTGCAGCCTTGGGTGTATTTTAGAATTGCTCTCAGTGTTGGAAATGGCCCCAGAGGTTAATCAAGGAATGTCAGACAGAGTGTTTGCAGCAACTAGACTCTTCCAGGTATGACTGGGGCTCAGCTCAGCTCAGCCTGGCCTCCAAGAACACAGCTTTGCTGTGAGGTGAATGAAGGTACATCAAGCTAATTAGCTATACCAACCTGCTTTCCACAGCTGGTGGTAGGTGTTTCAGGGTTGCCAAGAGCCAGTTAGGCTCTCCCAACCCATTATCTCACCCAGAACTATGTGTAAGGGAATGAGGATATATAAATAGAAAGTGTTGCTTTAGCACTGGGATGTTACGGGTTTACAAATCAGACGGATGCACTAGAAGCTGGCTGGTCCCTGCGCAGACATGGCCTGGATCTGAGTTGGAGAGCTAAATCAGCCCCTGTATTGAACTTGATAGCAGTGATTAAACAAACATTTTAACAATGTCGGTACCTCCACTGCCTGGATGCCAGGATATCCAGCACTCAGGAGATCCTGGGTGTGATTCACATGTGGTGGTAGTGGATAGAGCTTACATCAAATTCATGGCCAGCATTGATCCTGGGCATCCTAGGGAATAAGCCCAGCCTCTTGTGCATTTCTTTCAAATTCCCTTTTGCCCTCTTCTGCCATTTTGTTGCTCCTGTGTTAGCCAAGACCTAGTTTACTAGGGCTCTTGATTGGAGACTTATTACAGCTTATTTCTGTCTGCCTTTCTTTAAAGCCAGCTGAACATACCCAATGCTCTTCCTCTATGGTAAGACCGAAAATACAGACCACCCTCCCAGCTTCTGTGACACTCTTTCTAACACACTCCTTTTTTCTCTTCTCCGTGATCACAAGTTCTCTCTCCAAGCCCAGCCTAGTTATTTGTGCATGAAGCTGCCATGTCGTGTATTGCTGTGAGTCTGGTGTTCACATGAGCTGTGAATATGCTGCACATGTGTATTTCTTGTGCATCCTGAGCTTTCCTTTGGTCAAGTTAACTGTCGTTCTGCCTTCTAATGAACCACCAAGAGAGAACTAGACCTGGTAAGATTTCTTGTTAGGCACAAACTGTGTCTCTATCCACGTGACACTGAATGAGTTTGCGATGTGACTTCATGTCCAGCCCTCTGGACAAGAAGAGATTGTGACTCTGAAGTTCCTCTTCAATGAGGTGATTCACTTTAACATTTGAGTTTGTACTTCACACAAAAAAGAGTAAGTCATGCACACCGAACTCCTCTACCTTGGTGTGCAAGGCAGTTCGCACACCACCCCAACAGAGTTGCAGTAACTCCAGTCTCTTGATTGCCACTTTGCAGAACCTCCCTCCACTGGCAAGGGCGTGCCTTCAAAAAGATGGATGAAAGCCAGGAGAAAGCAAGCAAGGCTACTCAAGCACCAGCTAATCTGTAGCCATCTAGTCTTAAAATGACTGCAATCTTCTGAGGCATCACTGAGCTTTTGGCTAAGTGGTTTGATGCCAGTAAGTTGCAGATTTGCGTCAGGGAGGAATTTGTTCTGTTTTATCTGCTGCTTAGATTTTGCCTGCTCCAGAGTGCTAGGGACAGGAATAATTTTCTCGCTACAACAGCTGCCTCTTCTGAGCAAGGAAAGGTGCAGGAATGCTAAAACCTCCGTCCAGACCCATGTCCTAACTTGCTACCACCCAAAGGGCCAAAACAACAAGAGGAGTAGCAGGTAGAATAGGAAAACACTTTTTTTTTATCACAACCCCAGCAGTATTGCTGTCCACACAACTTTCAAATTTGGATTTCAGCTCTCTTTTAAGTAGTATTGGAGTTCGGCTTCTTAGAGAAGTGGAAGGGAAGCCGTAGGACTTCTGTAAGATTGGGAGAGGTGTGTGACCTTAGAGTTAGCCCTCAGGGACCATAGTGCTGAAGGTATGGAATGCCATGATTTTTGACTTCTTGGAGGCCACATTTCCTCCTTTACCTCAGAGCAACTCCCTCTGATTCACTGAAGCCCACAGTTTTTTGTCCAAGTAATAAAATGAGAATTATGTGCGATGTAGGGAGCACTCAGGCTTTTCCTTGACACAGCCTGTTCCCCTAATCTTTTTCACCCACTTACTCCACAGGTAGTGAGCTTTGGCCTTTGCCACAGACTGGAGGAAGCTACCAAAACTATCCACTGGTGATAAATAGACCACAGACAGACAGACAAACTGCAGCTGAGGTGCAATCCTGAAATGCTGTACCTGGTGCTGAGGTCTCTGTGCAAGCAGGGTTCACACACCCAGCACACAGCTCCAGCCCCTGAGCGCTCTGTGGCTGCTCTGCAGGAGCAGGGATGTGGGCAGAGCTGAGCACCATCCTGGGTAGAAAAAGGAGCACACACAGCGCACAGGTACACATCTGCATCTGGACAATCCCAGAAACATCCATCTGGGCTGTCCCTGTGACTTGGGTTTTATCAGAAGCAGACAGGCAAGCAGCTGCTGTTTTCACTGCCCAGTGACAGGAAATCCAAAGGGTCTGTTCTCTCTTGGTTTACACAGTGGTGAGTAGTTAACAGCAGGGGTGATCTGCACTGTTTCTTCCTCCTAAATGTTGCTCTTTTGGTAGTGTTTAGACTCAAACTGCGGTCTTTGCAGCCTGGGTGGGGACAGAGACGGGGGTTTCCGTGCACTTTGCTCCACAGCAGGTCAAGTGGCAGGGTGACAGTGTTATCTCCCCCTGTGACAGGAGGTCACATTCCCACAGTGCTGCTACCGGAAGCCACCATCTCCACAGGCTTCGCACAGTATTTTAGAGGGTTAAGAAACTGGGAGACGTGGCATTTGCTGTGCCCTTGAGCTAGATGCTGGGTCCTCTGCCAAGGCCAGGTGAGCCTGCTGCCACGGCAGCCCTCAGATGGATGTTGCCTTCACACATGTGAAGGCTGAGGGACGTCAGAGATGGTTACAGCCCCAGGGGAAAACGCTTAGGGACAAAGCAGATGCTGTGAGAAAAAAAAACAGGCTAGAAGAAAGACTATTTTAAAATACTGCACGCTTGAACAGTAGCGGTGAAGCCAAAATAAAATGTTTTTAAAAAAGCAAAAGTCAGTGCGCAGACTGTGGGAAATACAAAGGGGTCATGAGAAATGCAGAAGGCCCGAGCACAGAGCAGCGGGAGCAAGCGATCCCGGCCCAGCCCCCAGAAGCATGGCCAGGGCAGCGCAGGGACAGCCAGGCTGACAGTGGTGCCAGTGACTCCAGCAGCTGGGCAGGGGCCAGCACTCACCATGCCCCTGTGGGGTTTTGCACCCCAGACCTGCTACTGTTTCCCAGCAGAACAAGCAGCACGTGGTTGGTGCCCGATACCAGATTCACCAGAACTGCTGGCTGAGGCGCTCACTGGGGTAAAACGCCTGAGACAGGTCAAAAGAGAAAGTGTCCTTCTCCTCCAGAGCAATGTCAAAGGGGATTTGCATCTTTCCAATGTAAAGAGGAGATGCAGCGGAGAGGTTTACGGCGTAACATATCCCTAATCCCCAAAAGTCCAGGCAACCTGAAGGGAGAGTCTCATGGCCTTGAGAGCCTCTGTAGAGTAGCTTCACCACCATGGGAGACAGGGCTGGCTTGACCACTTCAGCCTGTCCCTGGGGTGCTGGGACACTGGAAGCCCAGGGAGCAGTACCAGGACAAGGAACAGTGCAGTGAACTCTCGACGTAGCGTCCTCTGTGGCCCAGGGCCCCCATTCCTCTCGTGCTGTTGTAACTCCTGCCTCTGTGCCAATGGCTTCCAGAACGCAGAGGAAAACTCTCGCATCTCAATCACCTTCTTCCGACTCTTCCGCGTGATGCGTCTCGTGAAGCTCCTGAGCCGAGGGGAGGGCATCCGGACTCTGCTTTGGACCTTCATCAAATCCTTCCAGGTATTCCTCCGCTTATCTCTCAGTAAGACCTAACTCCTTTTTATTTCCCCTTGGTGGCCTCTCGTGGAGGGGTTTCACCCAAGTGCCTGAGCTCAAAGGCAGAGCTGGGCACACCAGGGACACGTGGCACAAGTGAGAGTCAAGCAAATGTGACTCACAAGGAGTGGCTGCCTGCATACAAGTTTCATCTTTAAAGCCTGAGTAGTTGCTTGAGACCTTCCTGAACAGCTTTGATAGTTCAGTTCAACTCAATTACTGCCTGTCTGTAACCCTTCAGTCTCCTTTTTTTTTAACTATTTGAGCTGTATTTTATGTGTTGCTTTAACTGAAGTACACAGCTATGGGGAAGGCCTGGGTCTCAATTAAATTTCCTTTAAGCCTTATTTTGAGGATTTCCAGTAAGTATTAGAGGTGTGTGGCCTCCATACTTTCACCCGGGAAGAATTCACCTTTTTGGCCCCCTGCAATGCCAACTTATTAAATTGCTGCTGCTTTTACCCCTAGAGACAGGTTGCATTTAAGTGGTAGATAAAGTACCAGAGTAGATAGAGGAAGGTGAAGAAGACCAGACTGGATAAGAATCATCACCTCTGGGGGAAAAGAAACACCACAGTTATTTGCTAGAAAAAAACTAGCCACATATAGTAAGATGATAGAGATGAAGTATAGCATATTCTTGCATTTTAAAAGTACTTGACCTGGTTTTATTGGACCAGCACAACCTGGAAGTTAGCTGGGGCATGTCCAAAAGAAGTGTCAAGGAATGACAGCACAGGAATATAAATGGTGGTCTATACACAAGAAAAGATGCAGAACACACCAGTGAACAAAAGCATGAAAGAGTAACTTGTGCAACACACAAGTCTTGAAACAGCAACTACACATCCTTCACACGGAGGCTTTAAATTATCGATAGCTTTTGTGTTGGCTCTAATGGAAAAGGAGCAGATCCACACTTTTAAAACCTAAACCTCACCAGTGGCAACACAAGCTGGGACCAAAGCCTGCAGTGCTGTGGATCATTGCAACTCCTGTCAGCAGAATTAGCGTGTGTGTACACTGGGAATCAGCCTGGACTTTTTCCAGTGCAGCTCTCCGTGGTCTCGGTAGCCAGACCACCAGGCTTATGCAAAGGACTCTCATTTTGCACACTCCTTGACTGCCAGAGGATCTAATATTGCACAGCAGTTTTCTGACACATCTGTACCACAAGTGACTTTTTCCATTGCTTACATGGTTGCTAACTTCCAGGTTGTTATTTGAGCAGCTCCAGTGGGAACCATTTTGTCTGCATGCATAGGAATGAAATTCCCTTGGCACAGCTCAGGGATGCAGGGGGCAGAGTCACACTTTCCAGTTCCTGCTTCTACTCCTCTTGCCCCTGTGGCCCTCCAGCCTCTTTAGCAGTAGCTCGATCTTACCCTGAGCTCAGCTTGCCATGGCTCTTGGCTGAAGAGGATGAGATGGATGGGAAAGGGAGTGCCTGGTACTTCCCTCCAGTGACCTTCAGACCTCTTTGATTTAAGAGTCACTTTTGGGCAGGGTTGTAGGGTGGTGGGAGAAAGTATGAAGGGAGGGATCTTCCACAGCAGGGGAGGAAAAAAAGAAAACAGAAAAGAAAAAAAAATCTTTGCAAGCAAGTGCCTTTTCTCTTGAAAACCTTTAGCCATTTATAACATGGTATTCTCTGCTCCAAGCTCCTCCTCTTGCAACTACTGGGAGGCTCCTTTGGTAGCTAAGAATAGTCTCTGTGCCGCTCTTGATTCAGCCACTCCCACTGTCAGAATGTGGGATCCCTGCAGACTTTGGCACAAGCTCCTCTCTGTGTCCCCATATGCTTCCAGGAAGCGTCTCTGCTCACACAGGGCAGACTAATAAGCAACGAGTTAGATCCCATCGTAACTACCACGTGCCCTGGGCATGGCACAAAGTGCTGACGTACAAGCTGGGGCACTGGTCAGAGGAGTGTGTGATGGGAAAATGCTCAGCGGGCTTTCCGTCTGCAGAGACAGCAACAGAGCTCAGGCTGGTGAGTGGGAGGAGGAGGAAGTGAGAGGGGTGCTGAGGGCACGACAAGGCCATGGGAATCACAAGGACAAAGTGGTAAAGCCAAGGAAGGACAGAGACAGAGGCAGAGTAGGACAGAGCCCGAAGAATAGAATATGGGAGGTGGGGAGCTGAAGGAGCCGTGGGGAATAAGGGACAGAGATAAGTGGGAAGGTGCATTAGTGGAAAGGAGTGGGCTGAGCAGAAGAACATGAAAAAGAAGTGGAGGGGCAGATGGCCTGGACAGAAGATACTTTCCCAACCCCATTTAAAAGACAGAAGAACTGTTATGGTTATACGCCTCAGACCCTGTCTGGACACTATCCCATGAGCTCTTAGGTTTTGAGTGTATCAAGTCCCAACCTGATCATCACAAAAGGTTAAGAGCCCAGTTTTGAGCTGGTGTCGCTCCAGTGACATTGTGAGGTAACTATACAGATTTGTATGACCCCATAAAACACAGAGGAATTTGTCCCAAATCTCAAGATGATGATTACAGGCATTGTCTAAAGGTTTTAATTTTTTCCATTTTAATATTCAGATCGATTTGAGATTATTTATGTTGACCGTAGTCAAATCTCCATGATGGCCAGTGAAAATTTTTCCTAGATTCTTCCTATGGGATTTAGCTGTGTTGAATTTAGGATCATAGAAGGGTTTGGGTTGGAAGGGACCTTAAAGATCATCTAGTTCCAATGCCCTTGCCATGGACAGGGGCACCTTCCACTAGACCAGGTTGCTTGAAGCCCCATCGAACCAGACCTTGATCACAGAATCACAAAATATGCATCCACAACTCCTCTGGGCAACCTGTTCATGTCTCGCCACCCACACAGTAAATAATTTCTTCCTAATGTTTAATCTAAACCTACCCTCTTTCAGTTTAAAGCCATCATCCCTTGTCCTGTCACTGTATGCCCTTGAAAAAAGTCCCTCTATTGCTTTATATAGGCCCCCTATAGGTACTGGAAGGTGCTCTAAGGAGCTTTCTCCTCTCCAGGCTGAACAAACACAACTCTCTCAGCCTGTCTCTGCAGGAGAGGTGCTCCAAACCTCTGGTAATGTTGAAGTCTTGTTATATTCTGTGAAATTGAGTGTTCAAAGTCCAGATCAGGGACTGTGCTCACATTTTCAGGATGAACATGCTCACCCATTGCCTCTGAAGGAAAGTCTGGAAATCCCTGGTCTGAGCACTATGTATTTCAAAGGCAACAGAGTAGAAAATTCCTCCTCAAAAGCCTGAGCTTGTGAGGTCCCGAGCTGTGCCCTTGATTCCTGTTAGTGGGGGAGGAAACCGGTAGCACTCAACACTTTGGTGATTGCACTGGTCTCTTCCTTAGGCGGCAGCTCTGCATATCAGGGCTCTGCATTTCCTCTTCAGCAGCTGATCACAGACACTTAGTGCATTGCAGACACTGTCAGGGACACCTAGCTCGGAACAGGGAAGATGTTGATGCTGCCTTAGGTACTTAGGATGGTGCCAGCCATTGTAGCAAAAGCTACAATTTGGATTTCAGCAGCTGTTGCGGTTTTTATTTCACCAGACTGGATCAAGGAAAAAAAAATCACCTTGCTTTTAGTGCCAGAATAATGCTGGCTATGAGAGCTTTCTCCTCCTGGTGAGCAGCTGTAGACACTGGTTTTGCCCTCGCTTTCCTCGCTCCGTCAAGGGCAGGGCTGATGTGCAGGCGGCGCAGCTCCACCATCGCGAGTGGGAGCAGAGCGGAGCCTGCCTGAGCTGGGTGGTGGCGGGGAGGGCAACCAAATGTGGGCCTGTAGAGGCATCTAGTGGCCACCTGCCCAAATTACAGACTCCACGTTTGGGGCCAGCCTCTGCCTGGTTTCCCAAAGCCAGGAGCATGAGGCAGGCTTGGTGGAGACACAGTGCTCTTTCTTTCTTTCTTTTACTTCTAGGCTCTCCCCTACGTGGCTCTATTAATAGTGATGTTGTTCTTCATCTACGCTGTGATTGGGATGCAGGTAAGATGCTTGAAAGAGCTCAACTGTGTCTGTCTTCCCCTGTTAGACTTGGGCACTGTCTTATAGAGTAACTAGATTAATGTGTGGTTGTAGGGGCTTGCAAGAATGTTTTCACCCAATCAGGTGAACTGGCAGCTGGCCTTGGTTAGAAAACATCATCTGCCTATGCACTCCAGAAAAACAACCCAAACAAACAAAAATATTGACCCATTTAATGGCAAAACACAATATGCAAATAGTAAAAGGACCGTGCCTGCCCTCCACACTCTCGAAGGAATATCCATAAAGGAGATTTACTGCCTTGCCTGTTGGTTCAAAATAGTTTTTTCAGTGGATTTATGGCCATGCTGCACTGAAAAAAACCTCAATTTTTCTCTCCCATCACTTTCACGCTGGCGTAAATTCCACTGAGTTGTAAAGAGCAGCTTTTGATCTACACCCTTGAAGGTAAATATGGGATCAGACCCAATGTACCAACACTGAGTTTGTGCCAGTTCTTCATGAAGTTGCATCAATACAGCATCCTATTCAGTGTGCAAAATGAGCTTGGAATCATCCTGACCATTCACCTGTGCGAGGAATGATGTTGCATACAGACCACTGAAGAAAGCATGTGATATAGGTACAGTCTGTGACAGCCCCAGCCTCATCTGTTATGCTACTTTTCAAGCTAAACTTCATTTTCCACTTCAGTGTTAATCAAAGTTCTCAGATGAGTCAGCCATCAGGGACCAGAGACCACAGTATAGAAAGGCATGGCATAATTGCTTCCAGAGGTCTTCAAACATGACAGGCTTTTTGGTTTCACAATGCCAACAGAATTTGTAATGAAATTCATCTGACCTCTGTGACCTCTTTTGAATTTGTTTCCTGTTATTATAATCACATGTTTTCAGAGACTCCATCTACTCTGCCCCACTTTGAAAAATAAAACTAATTTTTTCTTGAATTATCACAGGTTATCTCAATGGCCCCAGTAATTACAGCTGTAATTTAGTCTACTATGCTCATGCTGTAAACTTGCCACTTTTGCCTTTAATACCTAACTAGCTCAAATGGCCAAGATCTTGCAGAATTACCTGTGCTATACAGAAAATCACTTCAGAGTATTAAGCTAGTGTTACGTTGCCATACAAAGCATTAAAAGTGGCTTCCAAACACCCACGCAGATGGAGTCTACAATGATCAGGGCACTGCCAGGGTTAGATACTTTATTCTGTAATTCTATTCCTTTTTTTGTCAGCTAGTTCTAAGTTATCTATTTAAGCCTTGGCTTGCATTCAAGCCTCTGGTTAAATCATTTCAGCAGCCTGAAGATCATGTATCTGTCTTTCACATTGATCTAGATTATTAGATCCCTTCCTGCCCTCCTGTCTTCTAATGAGAAAAGCAATTTTTCTCATTTTCCCTCTTTGCTTAGAGCCCACAGACCTGTTATCATCACTTTTTGTCCAAGTGGCATCTCAGACATTTTGTGTGCTGCTCTCTTGAACCTGCTGACATGTGGAGTTCCCTCACACATAGGAACATATAGGAAAGAAAATCATTCCTCACTCCATTAAGCAGCTACTATGAAAGACTAGATGTACCAGATCTGATGAAAATATCAGAATTTCCCATATAAAGGAGACCTACCACTTTATCTCAGCTGCTGCCATGACTTGGAGCGTAACAACATTCAAGCCTCACTACCTAATGTGCTCAAGTGGAAAAAATCCAAGTTGATGCTGATGGATGAAGCCACTCATATGATGCCCCAAGAGACACAGACTGGAAAGGCCATAAGAGAGGAACCACTACCTATAGCTCCTCCTCAGTACCTAATGCAAAGCACTCATAGCAGCTGCCACCAGTACCTCATGTGAGAGGGAAGCTGCCGGTTTGAAAGGAAGATCAGATTTCCAGCATGGGAAGCTCCCTTGTCTATGTTTGCCTGAAATGAAAAATATGGGTTGCCTCAGCTCAAACTGCCTCTGAGCATTAAACTGTCCTCCTGCTCCCCTTCAGTGCAGCTGGGGGCAGTTAGGGCTGGAGAAGGCCCACTCATCCATGAGGAACCCCTGCAGGAGCCTGCCATGTGCAGACCCTCCCTCCCGTCTGGCACGGCCTCCCCGCCCTTGTCCCCACACTTCTCTCCACATCATTGTTTCTCTTGGGGTGCTAATTATCGGTGACATTTCCTTGAAAAGAAGCTCCATGTTCTCCCAGAGCTCCTCTGTTCCTGCTGCTTGTTTTGGCTGTGAGATTACAGCTCTCAGTCCTCGACATCTTCGCCACGTTGTTGTCGATGGGGAATAAATAGTCCCGACTATGCTGTGCAGAGACTTTTCTGCCAGACGAGGTTTGTTAAGCTCTCAGTCCCACTGCCTGAAAGCACCAAAGCTGTCTAAGATTTTTTTCAAAGAAACCTGAAAACTCTGCTGCACTGGGGACTTCATATCTGAGGACAGGCTGCTAAATAGGTTTGCTGATGGTTGCAGCCTTCATGCCGTGACTGCATGAACAAGTTGGTGCAGCAAAAGTTGGTTGGGCACAAGGGGAGGCTGTAAGCCGTCCTTGTCTTGGCAAATCTAGTCATGGCCTTTGTGCTGCTGCATTCTGGGAGGTCCCCTGAAACACCTGTTGGTGACAAGCATGACTATCAGAAGGGCAGGCATTCAAACAATCTCCAGATTCAAGTCAAGGTACTTTACATTGTTTCGGAAAGATCCAAGGCACCCCACAGAGTTGGAAGCTCAAGGCTTTGCAGCTGCTGGTCTTTTGCTATCGTTTCCTCCTGCTGAAGACAGATGAGCAATGAAGGAAGTAGACTGTCTTCTATATTATTGATTTCTTTCAGCTGGGACTCCCCATATGAATGCCTGTTAAAATAAGGCCTTACATTGTGTATTCACAGTGTATGAGTAAGGAAGGATATCTTGTTTTAACATAAGATGCCTCTTGTTACAAAATTAGTGCTTTTCTGGTAATAAAGTACAAGCCAGGGAAGCAACAACAAATATGAAGGGCACATGGAAACATTCTTTTAATAGAAGAGCAGATTCCGTTAAATCTCAGAATCAGGGTGAGGCCAAGAGCTACAGGTGACAAGAGCTGTGGGGATTTTGCAGGGCTAATCTGAAAAGACCTCTGCTTTCTGCCAGGTGTTTGGTAAAATTGCGCTGAACGATACCACGGAAATCAACCGCAACAACAACTTCCAGACCTTCCCCCAGGCAGTGCTGCTGCTTTTCAGGTGGGTGTATGACAGCTCTGGATTGTGTCAGTCTGGGAGCACGATTCCTCTGCTCTCGGGCACAGCTTATCTCCTTCTACCGTGTCATGCTCACGAGGTGCATAGAAACATGTTGTCCTTTAGCAGAGTAGCCTGGGAGTTATGTCAGATGGAGTGGCCAGTCTCAAGCCTTGTACCCCCACCAGCTGACACTGGCCAACACTTAGTGCTGGGGAGGGAGGCAAGTGCTCCTACTCGGAAGGAAGGTAGCCAGTTTTCAGTGCTCTCAAATGTTGATATGCATCTAAAACTCCTTTCATTCAAGTCTAGCCAGTGTGACTTCTAGCAGGGAAAGGGACATGATGGGCTCATGCTTAGGCATGGCCATACCCAGCTCAACTTAGCACATCATCCTACTCCAGCTGAGGCCAGCTGGACTGTGGCCAGGGAGGGAGGGGTGCTGAAGGGGTGGGAAGTTGGTACAAATTCAGCACACTCTCTTCATTTTGAAGGACTTCTTGCGTGCAATCCACATGAGATGCAATCCGTATTGAGATGTGTCACACACATCTCAATGGCTGGCTGGTTGGAACAGGAGAGACTCGTACCCACATTAAGCCAAAGCCAGTCAGGAATGAGGACTGATGATGGCAACAAAACCAAACAGAGGAGTAGGGTATGCCAGTGTGTCAAAGCCCAGCCTTCAGCCTAACTTGCTCTTAATTAACCTCAGTGGCAAAATTCCCATTAATGTTCATGGGAGCAGGAACAGGTTGCTAATTTGCCAGTCCCTCTCACATCAAAGGTCAATGATGTCTTCCCTTTCCCTTTGCCATGCCCAGGTGTGCCACTGGTGAGGCCTGGCAGGAAATCATGCTGGCATGTCTCCCAGACAAGAAGTGCGACCCGGAGTCAGAGCCGGCCAACTCCACCGAAGCCGATCACTCCTGTGGCAGCAGCTTCGCTGTCTTCTATTTCATCAGCTTCTACATGCTCTGTGCCTTCCTGGTGAGTCCACCCCAGCAACCAAAACCTTCCCTCTGACAGGCTGAGCCTCTGCTTCCCCAGATATCAGCACTGCGCAGGAGAAGAATGATCTCAAATAGAGGAAATCTCCCCATGGGGTCTTTCCCAGCAGCACCCTTGCAGTGACAACACCCCTTCCTGCCTCCCACCAGCTCTGGGGGATGCTCTGCTCCCATCCCAATCCTTTGTGCACAGCAAAGGAGCGCTCTTCCCCCCCTCCCCCTCAATGAGAAAACCAAATTAGTGTGTTGTGGGCTGTGCTGAGGCTAGCAACGCCTCAGCCACACTTCCCACCTTCCCTCCTACCGTCCTTCTGGATGCTGAGCAGGTTTTTCCTCCCCTGCCAGCAGCAATGACTGTGAGAATACACATATCCCACTTACATCTGCTCCGTGTTGGCTGTGCGGCATTGCTCAGAGCGACAGCACATGCTCTGCAGCTGGCACCAGTGCCCAAAACTCTCCCAGTGAACTGCAGCAAATTTGGAAAGTTTTGGTCTTGGGCCAGAAGAAGGGACTTTCATCTCAGCCCCACTGCCTATAGAAGATAAATCCAAGGTTCTCCCACCCCATTATGCCGGGCAAAGACCCAGATTAATAACAGGCCACCACAACACGTCTAAACATTCGGCAAACTTGTGCCTCGTCCATTTTGTAGGGAAGGGAAAAGTGTAACGAGCTGAGAATATTCCACCTCTGGGCTCTTCCCGTTTAAACTAGGGGGCTGGCATGGGGGAACAGACAACCTACCCCTCATAGCTTCCTAGTTTTATGAGTCCAAATCAAGACCTTAAATGGAGAACTCAGTAAAATCTACTGTTACTTGCCTGTTCCATCATGTCATCTCTGTCTTTGTTTGCAGATCATCAATCTTTTTGTAGCTGTTATAATGGATAACTTTGATTACCTGACACGGGACTGGTCCATTTTAGGACCACACCACCTGGATGAGTTTAAAAGGATCTGGGCAGAGTATGACCCTGAAGCTAAGTAAGTAACCCAGTCTGGATATCAGAGCTCCTCAGGAGAGCAGGCCCATTATTTTCTGTTCTCTAAACCCATTGCAGTAAGTGGCATGTTCCTCCTGCAGGAACACATTTTTTTTTCTTTTTTTGCAAAACTCCTAAAATAGACATCTCCACGAGGTACTGCTGGTTAATCTGTAAGCCTGAGGTGCAAGGATACTCACAAAAATCTCAGCCTTTAGGCTGCACTGTTACTTGGCAGGACATTGCTTCACTTTCAGTCAGAGGGGAGATACAGACTGCTTAGGGAGGGGCAGCAGGAGACTGAGAAAAGGAGATTAGAGGGATGGTTTATTGTTGCATGTGTTTTGGGATATTGACTCTTCTGCTTGACTTTCTACTCACAGTAGAGCTGCTGTGCTCAGATCTCCATTTTGTCATATGTCGTATAGGCCCGTCACAATCTGCATATACACATGGCTGCATTACATTGTCTGCAGGTTACTCACATCAGCAGACTTGCAGGGATTTAAAGTTACACTAGAACAACTCACATGAGGGCTTAACTGACATTCAGTATTATATGCTCTGTTTGACACATGCTCAGGCTTAAAGTGTATTTAGATCCCTGTGGCATTACAGTACAGTTGACAATTGTAATTGCAAAACCCCCTTCATAATGCAAAAACTGTGGAAAGAGATTTCTGTGTAAATTAAAAGCAGATCTCTTTAGGAAACATAGTGTCAAGTTTAATTTGGGCTCAGGTTCTGCCATATGTGAGGTTGTGTCACATTATGAAAGTGATACGTGAATTTGAACATTTCTTCCCATCTATGTGGACTTCCTGGGGGGACTTTTAATATGGATGAGGAATAAGCCCAGAATTCTAATAAATACACCATTTGTTAACTAAACAGGTGCTACTATTTGTGCTTGTTTGGCGGCAAGACTGCAGTGGCTGAAGCCATATAAGAGATAGCCACTTGGTTCAGATGACATCCTGTTCTTCCCTGTCTATAGATGGGGAGCTCTTTTTTCTTCCTCTTCCCCATCCATGTCCCATGCCCCACCTCTGGCTCTGGTAGCTTTCCTCCCTCCATGAGAGAATTCTTCTTTTGAGATACCATTTACAGAACTTAAGAGAAACCCAACTGCTACTGTGAAGGAAGTTCAGCACTTTGTTTTGTGCTGGCCCTAGAGACAGCCCAAAGCATAAACAAGTATCAAAAGGCTTGGGGCTATTTATGTGGGTCAAAAGTGGGTAAAGCACAAGGAAGAAAAAGGCTCTTTGCACCACTGTGCCTCCTTTAGACCTAAGTAAATAAACAGATATTTATTTTGAGCAGGTCAGTGGTGGGGAGGACAACCCCAAATTGTCAGTTCATGCACTAAGAAACTGCAACATTCAAACACTGAGGTCAATTCTTGCAAGTATTGACTTGTGTGTGACTGACAGATGAGTTTTCTGTACTAGTAGAAGTTATATGAGTGCTGGGCAAATCCTGAGGAATGCAACAAATGCAAGAGGCCTGGAATAATGCATTAAGCTCTGCCTGGGCTACAGGGAGAGCCTGGCAGCTGGAGAGACCTCAGTGACACTTCCAGCTGCATCTGCACTCTGCAGGTGGATCAGCAGCTCACCCCGTGGTCAGGATGCAACCCTCACTGTGCCTTCTTTTTTAGGGGACGGATCAAACACCTGGATGTGGTGACGCTGCTCCGGCGGATTCAGCCCCCCCTGGGCTTCGGGAAGCTCTGCCCTCACCGGGTGGCTTGCAAAGTAAGGCACCCTGCGGCTCGCAGAAGGCTAAATTATAGATTCAATCACACAGTCACAGAATGGTTTGGGTTAAAAGGCACCTGAAAGATCATCTAATTCCAACCCACATGCTGTGGGCAGGGACACCTTCCACCAGACCGGGGTGCTCTACACTAACGAGCCTGCGGTGGCATTTTCCAGCTGATCCTGCCACACCCACCGGACACCTTCCAGCTCACTGCCTGCCAGGCAGAGCTGGCAACAGCACATGTCTGAACGGCTGTCCTGCACCACTCACCAGCTCCTCTGGGCTGCAGCCACCCAGTCAAGGGCTGGAGGGTCACTGGCAGGCAGGTTGTCCAGTAGTCAGGGGCATCAGTGCACTGCCAGCCCTCTCTGGAGAGGAGAGCGCATCCATGCTACAGCTACAGCTTGAGAACTACAGCTCTCTAGTACCAAGAGCCACACACCTGCCTGTACTATTAAACACGCATCCTGAGACAGATTAGGACACCTAGAAATAACAAGGAAAGTTAAAAATATCTCTAAGGTTTTCTTTGGACTAAGCAGTGCACCATAAACCTAGTGTTTTCTCTCATTCATTCCTGCTTAAATAACTGACAAATAATAAACAGCAAGGTGAGCGTGGCATCAAAATACACAAAGTATTTTATAGTTTTTATAATTTAATTTTTATAATTTATATTTTTACAATTTTAATGTTCATAATTTAAAATATGGATTTTCTGTGAAAATCTCTCACTCATTTCTTTGGTTGTGAGACTCTGGGTATGAAAAAGGACTCTCTCTAGTGAACCATTACGTGTTTATAACCTCTATGCTTCCTTCACTTAAGTTCTTTGTTCATCTCCTTGCAAGTCCCAGAGTTTGTATGTGAAACTTGTAGTTGTCTTTTTATGTAAGTCTCAGAGAAAAATACAAACCCTGGAGCCTGTACACAGAAATGTGTGACTCCTGTGACCTACTGCTGATCCCTTTCGGTCTGCCATCTAACTATTCCTTGCTGCCTCAATCTGGTTCAAACCCCAAAGGCTATGATTGCAGTGGTAGTGAGGGGGGATGACACTCTGTCTTTTAATTTGGTTCTGAACCAGACCTGTTGCATGAAAGTTGCAGAAGGCAGAGCTCAAACAAAATCAGGCCCTGAAAGCATAAGAGTTCAAGCCAAGACTCCAGTATCTCTTACCTCCTGGGACAGAAGATCTGGTGACTCTGTGACATCTGATTCATATACATGTTGTTAGTCTTACTGAAGTTCACCCTGCAGTTGCAAAGTACTCAGCACTCACTCTCTGTCCTATATGACTTTACAGAATTACTGCAGGCAGACACAGCCTTGTTTTAAAAGGGAGAGGGGGAATAGTTGGATAAAGCAGACCAGCTTTTAGGTTCAGCTAATCCCCTTTCTTCAAGCTTGTCACCTAAATGAAAGATTCTGTCTCTCTGTGTATGTGCCTTTGCACCAGGTACAGCTTTAATGCAGATGAGTTTGCAAGTGCCTCGTGAGGTATGAAGAAAGCAGTTCGCTCCTGATAGGAAAAAAAGTCAAAAGTTTTGGAAAAAAGTCAGCAAGTGCCCACTGACCACAGGGGAAAACAAAGATGAGAAAGTGATAGCCAAAATTGAAGAAAACAGAGTAGTAATGAAAGAGACACCCCAAGGCAAACACACCATGGCTGGGGCCATCAGTGGAATCATAGAATGTTTGAATACCCTGAGTTGGAAGGGAGCCACGAGGATCATCAAAGTCCCTGCACAGGACAACCCCAAGAACCTCACCACATGCCTGAGAGCATTGCCCAAATGCTTCTTAAACTCTGTCAGGCTTGGTGCTGTGACCACTTCCCTGGGGAGCCTGTTCAGTGCCCAAACACCCTCTGGGTGAAGAACCTTTTTCTAATATCCAACCTAAGCCTCCCTTGACACAACTTCAGGCCATTCCCTGGGGTCCTGTCACTGGTCACCACAGAGAAGAGGTGAGTGCCTGCCCCTCCTCTTCACCTGGTGAGGAAGCTGTAGACTGCAATGAAGTCTCTCAGTGTCCTCTTCTCCAGGCTGAACAGACCAAGTGCCTTCAGCTACTCCTCATACAGCTTTCCCTCTAGACCCTTCACCATCCTCATTGCTCTCCTTTGGACATTCTATAATAGTTTTATATCTTTCCTATATTGTATTGTGGTGACCAAAACTGCACACAGTTGGTGGATATGACAAGTGTTTTTATCATTGTCTAACTAAATCCACAGGCCACGGATGCTCATATAAGAGGGGTGGCAGGTCTGGAGGGTGTCATGAGGACATAAGGAAGAGCATACTTCAGTTCATGTGTAGGCAGTATGATTGTTCTTTCTCCTCTTTATTCCACAGCGCCTTGTCTCCATGAATATGCCACTGAACAGTGATGGGACTGTCATGTTCAATGCCACTCTCTTTGCTTTGGTCAGAACAGCACTGAGGATCAAGACAGAAGGTAAGAAGCTTGCTGACTGCAAGGGTACAGAGGTAGCTGAGTGGTGTTCACACCAAAGTGTGCTGAGCTGGAGTAAACCAATAAGGATACCTTGTGCAAAATTATCCAAATTACTCATATGCAGCACATGGGACAAAAAGCAGTGTAAAGAGGTTCGGAGAAATAGTTTCTTCTAGGAAAGCACAGTGTTTCCTGTTACCTAGGAAGCTGATGCTTCCTATGGTATCATCTCATATTATTGATCTCATTCTTCACAATGGTCTAAAGGTTTAAAGTTTTAGATCAATGCTCAAACAGCTGCCAGGGGAAGGAAGAAGGGCAAAGAAGCCTCCTCCTTTGTACACTGTCTGCAGAGCTGGGCTGCTTTTCGACTGCTGCCACCACTGATCTTCCAGTCCAAGGGAGGCAAAAGAGCTTGGACTCAGGGGTCTCATCTCACTAAAACTCCTCCTGCGCTTCCATTAGCATGAGTTAACATTACATTGTAGGAACAGTGGTGTTTTAAAGACAGATGAGAAGTAAAGAGACTGTTAATAGCTTTGCACAGACGGCAGGTATAGTTGAGGAAAACAGACAAGATTTTGAGCTCAGCTTGTCATCTTTGTTGCACTCTGTCACCTGCTGTAATGAAAGATATTGGTCCTGAGTCAAAACTTGGTTTCAAGTATTAATGAGATGCTTTAAAAAGAGCATGTAGGTCTATGATTTACACCTCTGCCTCAGTAGTGGCTGCATTACATCTCAGGTATGGGAAAGCAGAGACCAGCAGAACCCTAGCTTACTGTGCCAGGATTATACACAGCTGAGACAAAAAACAGTGATAAAATTAAAAAACTACATTAAGGCTTTGAATATTGTGCTAAACAGAATTTGACTGTAGCTAAAGAAGCTCTCCTGAAGAAAAGCCATCTGCAAACCCTGTAAGATATCTCAGGTCTAACGAAACAGACACACAAAAAGGACTTAGTTTTCTTGTCTGAGTAGGATGCATCCTATTAAGAGAGCTACTGCCATGCAGAGCCCCGTGCAGCACACTGAGGAGCCTTAATGCTGGGGAGCAATAAGAAAAATTGCAGGAACCACACCTTTAGGAGGACAAGATACTGGTTTCATACACCTAGAGAGAGAAGAGAGCTTCAATTATATTATGTACATTTTAATGTACATAAATCAAGAAATAAAATTGAAGGTGACTCATTTGGAAGGAAACGGGTATCTAGAAGGAAAGGATATAAACCAAATCTGCTTCACTCACTCTCATGGGAGTAATGTGGCTTAATTAATGTCTCATTTAACTCAGAGCCCCTTGGAGGAACATGTAAAGTCTAAGTTCAGACAGTGTCATACAAGGCTTGTTATAGCCTATGCTGTTCTTCAGAGAATAAACATGTATATCCTGGGACAGTCCTCTGAGTCAAACAGCAAAAGCCTTGCACTTGCCTCTGGTGCCTTGTCAGAGCACTGTGCACACCCTCTGAGTCAGACTCTTGGTACCATGTGCAGGAGCTTGGTATCTGCTGGGAGGCAGGGATTGCAGTAAGTAGTTCTTGAGAAGTGCTGCGAGCAGCCACAGGTCTTCAGATTGCCAGCTGCATCTTTACCACCAGTTATTTGTGATCCCCAAGCTGTAGTTTCCCATTAACTGACCTCTGTTCTCATTATATTTGACCTTCACTGGATCTCAATTAAAAAAGCGTTAGATGCAATTGTTGCTTTTTGGGATGAGGTAGCACCATGGATCTGGTTGTTTCTGGCTGTTGCCCACTATCAGTCAGTAACTGTCACTTTCCTACCCAGAGATGAGTATGCACGTTTAGGAAGAAGAGCTCTTGCTGTGAGGGGGCTTTAGCAACAGTCAGAGCATCTCTTGGCCCAAAACTTTCCACTACTGAAAAAGCTCTGATATTTTCCTCCTGAGGTTGCCATGCCAGACATGAAATTGCTCCTCTGCAGGGTCTGCTTAGTTCCTGTCTCTGATGATTTTCACCCTGCAGGTAACCTGGAGCAAGCCAACGAAGAGCTGAGAGCAATAATTAAGAAAATCTGGAAGCGCACCAGCATGAAGCTGCTGGACCAGGTGGTGCCTCCTGCGGGTGGTGAGTGCAGGATCTTGTCCCAGTCTCTGAATCTCTCTGTTTTTTTCTCCCATCTGTCATGTCCTACTGCACCTTGTGATCATCAGGTGGAATATGGGGGGACAGGCTTTCTTCTACAAGCTGTTAACTGTATTTCATCAGGCTGAAATCTTTTCTGCCTATAGTATCATGAATATCCCGTTCTTATTGCTGAGAAATCAGGGAAAGAAGAAAATGTGCATAAATAGGTGTTAGTGCATGGGCATCTAGTTAGTGCATAGTGAGGCCTTTACTGACATTGCAGGTGGTTCCATGGGCTATAGCACAAAACAGCACTTGGCAGCAGATGCAGCAGATGCAGCCGAGTGCTGAACCTTGCTCAGCCTGCCCTGAAGTCAGTGGACCATGTTTCACAGAATTTCCAGAGGGTTTGGAGAAGGAAGGAGAGTTACCTGGAGAAAAACATTTTGGCTGACTGATAGTTTTTATTGAGTGAGAATACAGCAATGGCTGCATTTCAGGGTGGAGGTGATGGTTCCTGTTCACTCACACCCATGTGAGGCACAAGCAGACAGAATTTCAGTGCAGAGAAGGGCCAGGTCAGGTCGAGGATGTATGATCAGTCAGATCATGTATTACCCCAGGCTGTCACAAGACAGCAGCATGCTTTGACCCAGACTGGGAGGCTGCTGCTATAACGAGATCCTTTGTGGTTAACCGATACCAGAGACTGCAAAGGTCAGATGTACTTCCCCGTAAACCGTATACATCCAGAGGTGCACAGCTATAGGGGTTCTCTGCCAACAGGGACAATCTATCCAAATGCCACATGCACCTCTCCTCCTGGCTACTTTACAGCAAGCTCTGGTTGTGGAGCAGTCCCTTCCTTCAGCTCTGTATCCTGGCGCCATGAAAAGCAGACGCGCCCTGCGGTGCCCAGTGTTCCTGCTGCGAATCCCAAGGCTCACAGTAGCACATACACTGCTGAAATCAGTTGCTTATTTGATTTGTTTTTTAACACCCCTTTGCAGATGACGAGGTGACCGTTGGGAAGTTCTACGCCACTTTCCTGATTCAGGAGTATTTCCGGAAGTTCAAGAAACGTAAAGAGCAGGGGCTGGTGGGAAAGCCCTCCCAGCGCAACGCGCTCTCCTTACAGGTGACAAGCGGGCACAGAACAGACCGGGGTGGTACAGTAGAGGCAGGTGACCCCATTTCCCTCTGGACCATTCTGGGGGCTGGATTGGGCTATCCCTACTGGAAAGGAGTTTGTAGACCCCTTGAATTATCACGCCACTCCTTTTGGGTAAATATGTATGTGCCATGGGCCCACATCCCTTAGCTCTGGAAATGGAAGGCACAAGTGAGCTCTAACCACAGTTTATCAATCTGCTGGGAATATTTGAAATTTGGGATCCTTTCAGAGAACTGGTATGAAGTGTCCTACAGACATTTGCTTATTCGCACACACCTTCTACCCTTTCTGAGGGTAGTCATTGTAACAGGGTCAGGGAGACCATATTGCCAGGTGGCAAAATCAGTTAAAAAGCAAAAAGCATACCTGGATGCCAAGGCCATCCAATGGACAGGGCATCAGGCTCAAAGAACTGGGATCTGTTCCCCTCTCTGCTACATGTTCACTAGGTGGACTACCAGCTATGTGAAAGAATGAGAAAGCCCCATTGACTGTACAAGCAGCACCATTTATGTCCCTTGAGGGTACACTGAGGAAGAAGGGTGACTCTGGAATTTCAGCAAGTTAAAAAGTGCTGTGATGTGGGCACAAATACAGAATGGGGTCTCAATATACCCACAGCTTACTGCCCTGGATGGACTCCTTGGAACAGATTCCAGTCAGCGAGGGGTTTGAGGACTATCCAGGTCCAGATGCCAGAAGTTTAGCTATTAAATCCATATTTAAGCTGCTGATTAAAAAGAAGAGATTTTTCAGAGGCACCAGAGTACATGGTTCAGCTGGAACTGTGACTGCTCAAGGGCTTCTGGTTGTGGATCTGAGAACCTAGAGTTGAAAGCACAAAGACCTGCTTAGTCAAGCCTGTGGATTTATGTCTGTGTCCTGTTGTGATGAAGCCAGGGGACTAGCAACAAACATTCCTGGCCTGTATTGCTAAGAGTTTCTCCCTCTCTAAGCTGGAGATGAAAGAACAGAATTTGTTGGTGTTTTTCTAGGAGCTGGGGATGCTATGCTAAGTAAAAGGGCTTCACAGAGCTTAGGAAGAAATGGCAATGCAGTTATTTCTCCCATATCCACTCGGAGATATGAAGCTCTATAGTTTGCTGTTTTGCAGGCTGGTCTGCGCACACTCCACGACATTGGCCCAGAGATCCGACGAGCAATTTCTGGAGACCTGACAGCTGAGGAGGAGTTAGATAAGGCCATGAAAGAAGCTGTCTCTGCTGCCTCTGAAGATGATATCTTCCGGGTAGGTGCTGAACAAGTTTGTGAGTTGAGACTAGGCCAGTAGCTGAGCTCAGAAAGCTACGTTCTCTTTTATGCATTCTGCATTTCATCTGGGTCTTCCTTCTTGTTTTGTAGGTCCTACTAGAAAACAGCATAGTGAACCTAGGAGGCCAAGTCCTGAGATGTTTGCAGTTTTATCCCAATTTCTTCTCTCTTTGTCTCAAAGGAAACTCCTCAGTGGAAGTTTCCCTCACAAAATCTAAATTAAAGAACAGATCCGTTAAACCATCTCACAGTCTGCAGAGCAGCAGCCAGGCACACTTCAGTGTTTTTGTCCACTCTTTTCTGTGGCACAAGTAGCATCCTTCCAAAAAGTACATCAGAACCCAATAGAGCTCCTATAGAAGGAGGAAATTTTCTGAGCAAGTTACCTAAATCTTTTCTTTCTTATTTCATTCCTATTTCTTGTAATTGTCTCCTCTGGTAATTTTTCCTCCCTCTTGATGTTTTCCTCCTTTCCTTACAGAAAGATGCCAGTCCTTTTCATTACTCACCACCTAAACAGTACATAACTGGCTCACTAAATTTTTCATCATTTCTTCCTCCAGGTGATTAATAGTTTCTGATGCTCTTCTCAAATTCCCTCTCATGTCTGAATGTTCCTTCGCAACTGCACTGGGAAAACCAGACAGGAGCTACCTGGTTCTTGCATTCCTACCCAGTCCTGCTGTTCCAGGACTGGTGGGAGGTGTAGAGACACCTTTGCCTCACCTATACACTTGGCCAGTCCTCTGAAATATCGTAGAAAGCTAAAGTTTTCACAGCCTGTGTGTACCTAGTCTCTGTGGCAGAGAAGTCCACACAGTGCCTTCTGGAAGAGAGAACACCAGTGCCATGAACAGTTTGGTTCTCACCTTTTTTTTTTTCCAAGAACAGGCTAAGCAGGAAACGCCAGGGCCCTTGCACATCTTCTCACTCACAAAGGGAAAATCATTTTTGTTTTTCTGACAGAGAGCTGGAGGCTTGTTTGGAAACCATGTCAGCTATTACCAAAGTGATGGCAGGAGCGCATTCCCCCAGACATTTACCACCCAGCGACCTCTGCACATCAATAAGTCTGGCAACAACCACGGAGATACCGAGTCTCCATCTCATGAGAAGCTGGTGGACTCCACCTTCACTCCCAGCAGCTACTCATCTTCAGGCTCCAATGCCAACATCAACAATGCCAACAACACTGCCCTGTGCCGCTTCCCCAGCCCACCCACCTACCCCAGCACTGTCAGCACAGTGGAAGGCCATGGGACCCCCTTGTCACCCACGATATGTGTGCAGGAGGCTCCTTGGAAACTGCCATCCAAAAGGTGAGTTTCATAGCAGAGTAAGTCAAGGCACTGAGTATAGGAACGTGCATGCAAACACCAGGGCACTGCTGCCCGGCTGAAGTCACCCCCAGACATTGCCCAGCTTGCAGCCTGGATTGAGCCTTCTGGTTCTCCACTTGTGCCAAAGCCCACAGTGCAACAGATATGCGTCAGTCGAGCACTGCAAAGCAGAAGCACTCTTACTGATCAACTCACTTGTTTTGTTTGGGCTTTATCATGAAGAAACCTTTGTAAGAACCAAAAGGAGCCTTATTTATCCCTCTTTCACCACAGGGAGGGCTTTTATCAACTGGTAGCTGAAGGACACTGCAATTCATTTCTTAATCGCCCAGTAGGGAGCTTTGTGGAAGTCAGTGGTTTTCCATTCAGTGGGTCACATCCCTACAGAGGTCACCAAAAGCATTCTGGGGGAGGGAGGCAAGGTTTTCAGAAATGCAATACTGTGCAACACAAAGAAAATCCCGTTCTCTGGTCAGTTCTCAGGCTCTCTACACACAGGTGTCTGATACGAAAGGAGGATCATTTTTATCAGAGGGGGATTTCAGTAACATCAGGAAGGAGCTGAAATTTATTTTTTTCAGTGCAGAGAGTGGGCAGTGGGAAAAGGTGGACAAATGCTGCCCCTGGAAAGGACAGAATAGGACAATAAGACAGAGGAAATTCAGTGGGTGCAGAATTGCCCAAGTAAAGAGTCCCAGGGTTTTTCTATTTCATGCCTTCCCGAGGGAGGCCACAGGAGTTGCACAACACATGTTACCATGTGCCCTCCTCCTTTGCTGACTTGTGCTGATGTGACACTGCTAATGTGGTGTTCTTTTCTCTCCTTGCTTCCCTGGGCACCTTGCTTGAATTAGGACACATTACTACGAAACACTGGGACGGTATGTGTTCTCTATAATGTCTAATGCTGTCTGGGTGTAAGACTCATTGCTCATCCTGTTGAAAGTCCAAATTCCCATTAATGCTGAATACAGGCTCTTCTTTTTGGTGTCAGTAGGGCTGAAAGAGAGGTAGTGATCACCATGACAGCTCCAGAAAATGCTCTTAACACAGGGCAGGTAGTGATTCATGGACAGTTTCTAGCTGTTTACTAGATTTGGGGTTTTTTTTAGAGTTTCTAGCTGGGCTCACACATCTATGCACTCTCTCACCATGGCATAGTGAAGTACACCCTGGCATGTGCATACAAAAATTCTGTATGGTTTTGGCTAAACACAGACTGTTGAGCAGGAGATGCCATGTACTGATTTTTTCCCCTCTGCACCTTAGCAGTTTTACTTGCCTCCCATTTAAGGAGGAAGGTCGCTCCAGCACAGTCCTGCAAGCTCTCTGAGCCTACAGGCTCCCTTATACCTTACATACACACATTTTTCCCGATGCTTTTTGCTTAAACCAGATGACAAAATAAAGTCCCTGAAAGATGAAACAAAAACCTGCCACACTGCTCTTTCCTGCAATTGCTAGTAAGAAACTGAGATTTTCTCCAATACCTTCATATCATTACCTCAAAAATTCAAGCTACCTTCAGATTTTACTTTACTCCTCAGAAAACACAAAGTCTGAATGAAGTGAAATATGAGTGCCCAAATGTGAAACAGAGGGACAGAGAGGAGGCAAGCAGGGAATTAAGGGCTGTTACACCTAAGGGTCTGAACAGATCCTACTGAATTCAGTAGAAGCACTCTGCAGTTAGTGATGAGGAAAAAAGGGACCAAAAGTGAAAAAGACAGCAGGGAATGAGAGTGTGAACAGGAGGCAGAGGGCAGAGGTGGTGCAGAGTAAGGGATTTGGGAGGCAGACACCAGACATCACAGAGCTGAGAGGGTTACTGTGAGTGTCTAGGAGGCTTCTCTGAAATCCATAACCAAGGCTTTTGTAACAAGAGCCCATCTCAGATTTTACTTTGAATTCAGGTGAGGTATAATCTTTGTACATGTGGTCAGTGTGATGTGCACACTAATAGAGTTCATGTAGTCACAGATGACAATGATACGTTTACAGTATTGTTCAGCATTGATTTAAGAAACTCGTCCTCTGACAGAGGACACTGACAAAGGTTGTTGCTTTGTATTTGTGAACTCTGTAGCTCTGTTCAGTCATTGATTTTTCTATGATGGCTCTTCAGCATTATTATAAACTGAGACAGATGGAGCCTGTCATTCTTGTCTTTATAACAGGTTGTCTTTACCATCTCCATATCTTGACTTGTCTTTTTTGCTCATTAGCTCCAGTTCCAGAGACAGCCAGCTGGCAATTGTTTGCCAAGAGGAAGTGTCTCAGGATGAGACTTATGATGAAAATTTGAATGAAGACATTGAGTACTGTAGTGAACCAAGTCTGCTCTCTACCGAAATGTGAGCTTTGCAGCTTTAGTCAAGGTGTTTGGGTGGTTCTTTGATTAAGGGGGAGAGGTGGGAAGAGGTGACCTTTTTCAGTTTATGGGATAAGGTCAGAACCTGCAGTTCAGCCCTAGAAGTAACACTGAAAAGAATATCTTTCACCTAGGATTTTCCTTCTTCTCTGAATGAGGCATCTGGATCTGCAGGGCCTTTCTCCACATTCCCTTCTACCACCTGATGTTCCCAAATCTCATTTTTAGAGGGGTTCTCTGTCTCGTAGTTGTTACTGCTCCTGGACCAGTTATAGCTTGAAGCTAGATCACTATTGCATCCTTCTGCTAGCATGATCTTCCTGGCTTCCTTACTGGGAGAGGAGTTATTCTGTCCAATATCAGCTGCTTTTCTAAGTCCCTCTGTTCTCCTTTCCAGGCTTGCATACCAAGATGATGAAAACAGACAACTCACTCCACCAGAAAACAGCAAAGGAGAGGACACCCGGCACTCTCCGAAGAAAGGGTTTCTGTGCTCCTCAGCACTAGGTAACCTCCCAGCAGGACACAGGGGCTGTGCTCTCCTCTGCCTTGATGGAGTCTCCCATCTTGCTGGGGGACTCCCAGCCTGTGTGGGCATAGGGGTTGCTGTTTGCTGCCTTTAGCTTGTTAGACCAGGAATCCCCCAGTGTGCAGATGATCCTGGTCACACACATGACTGTGCTGACTTCATGCTCTCAGTCAGTAGATGAACCTGTGGCTGTTTGGATAGTCCATGTGATCTGTTTGATAAAGCCTGCCTGTAAATTAGAGGAGTTTATTTGAGCACTGTGGACTCTCCAGTCACCAGGGAGTCACTGAATGGGCTAGCCTTGAATATACAGTGTTCTAGTCTGTGTGTATTCAGCAAGGAGAGGTTGTCTCTGTTGTCTGCTACCAGGAACACAGTGAATTACTGATTAATTTAACACAACACAAATTACCTACTGTGACTGTACCTGGAGATTTTCAAGTGTTTGAGCCTGTAAACTACACTGTCAGGTGAAATCCACGAATCACAAATTTTATGAAAGTGAAATCCATGAATCACAAGATTTATGAAAGTATCAAGACAAATGTAAGAGTCTGTTAGAAAATGAACTCTTCTAGCTACAACATTTTTCAGCCTTTCTCCTGGGTATTGGTGTGGAGAACAAGGACATTGCAGGGAGAAACCAAAAAGAATCATGTGTATAAAATATACTTTATATATAAAATAACAGTGACAGGCTAGGTAGTGTAATGTCTAAAGTGAGGCTACTGAGTCTTCACTCAAATCCTTCAGGATGCTTGTACAATTGAGTGTTCTAAAAGCATTTACTTTATTTCAAATCTTAAAATATTAGGCAAGAACAATTCCTATCTGTAAGGCAGTCAGTCCTTGATACAATGCTTCATTAACTACATCCTAGTGGATATTTATACAGTGATGTTAAACTCATTTTACTAATTGGTTTTTTTCTCTAGAAAGAGAAAATACTTTTAACCTGCATTGTAACATTCATCCTCTGGGTTATAATGCAACTCCTCCCAACCAAAGTCCTCTCCAACCTCTGAGAGGACTTTTTCTCAACAAATCAATATTATAGATACATCCTATTTTCAGAATTCTAATTATCTTTCCTTCTTTAGAAAAATGTCATCAGGATCAAGAAGTCCCCAAAATATTTTAGTGTGGCATGCAGTGTGTCATGCACTAAATCTTTAATATTGGATTTATTTGCTATTCTCCAGAAGTAAAGCCTTTGCACTTTTTCATAAACATACTTTGCAGTACTCTTCAATCTTTAATAGGGAGTAGAACTTCTCTTATTTAGAGAAATAAAGTTTAATTTTATAGCAAGTAAACAATGTGTCTGTTTCACCAGTTCCCCCTAAAATCTTTTTTTTTTTTCAAGAGAAAAAAAAAAAGCTTTTTTTCTCTTCCCTTCTTTCCAAACTTTGAAAATGCCTCGTGTCTAAGTCACCTCCCGTTCACTAGTAAATTCAGCATTGATTAATTCACTTGCACTTGACCTTGCTATAGACACAGTCTCATAAACTGTGGTATGTCTGGCAGCTACGGGACACAGATCACATGCAAGCAGGAGGCCAGTGTCACCTGAGCAGCCTGACATCCCCTTCTGCATGTTGTGTACAGCCAGGCACAGCACCAGAGCCTCAGCTGCCATCATCAATCCTGACAGGGGCTTTGTCTGGACCAGAGAGGTCTGAGAACACTTCCACTGTTCAAGAGGGAAATCAACTGCATGTGTTTTAAAAGAGGAAAAATAAAAAGCATTTTTCAGAATTTTATCTGAAGGTAGTGTTGCTTGGTTCACAATGCCTCACTGCTTTTTGCAGGCACATGTGCTCTGGAAAGGGCAAGGTGTCGAGGGAAAGTGGACAGAGCTGAAAGTGAGGGTGTCTTTGCTGTATCTCCAGTGGGACTGCACTAAAGGAAATGGAAAAGAGATTACCTGTAGTGTGTTATGAGTGATGGACACAGTTGTGTGTGATTGCTGTTTCAGGTCGAAGGGCATCTTTTCACTTAGAGTGTTTGAAAAGACAGAAGAACCAGGGCGTGGATGTCTCGCAGAAGACAGTTCTGCCTTTGCATCTGGTACATCATCAGGTAGGTGTTAATGACCACAAAGGGCCCAGCAATGAAACTGAAACCCTACTACCTGCAGTGCCTCCCCAGTGCATCCCAAACAACTTTTTAAAAGCCATTTGGGATAGTTTGTCACCCACATCAATGATCCGGTTTTTAGAAATCAGATTTGCCATCATGCTCATTCCTGCTTTCAGGATTTTTATCATTCCCAGAAGAATGCTACAGGAATATGTCCTTTGCAGTCAGCAGAGTTATCATTTTCTGATGTCAGTAAAAGAATAAAATAAAATACTAGCTAAAAGATAAAAATAGCTACCCAAATTGCATGCTGCAGTGCAATTACACTGGCTTTGATGGTAGTGTGCATATGAATAAAATGTGCAGAGTCTACTTTCATGTTAATTAAAGGTAACCAGTAACTGTAATTAATCATTTTAAAACATAGTCTGATTACATGTCATTAATCAGCTTCTCAAGCCCTTTGTAACTGTGTTCAGCAGCCTAGCAAATGTATGCTTAGGCACGTACCTAGATGATTAGCCAGCTGTCATACTCCAAAGCAGATTTGTGTCTTTTATTTTGATGATGCCACTTTTTGTCACCATAAAAGAAACAGGTGCAGATGGTAGTGCCAGCCTTGCAAGGGTGGTGTCCTGCTCCATGCAGTTCCCTGGGGCAGGGCAGAATGGCCTTGTCACCTCATTCACTGCCACAGGGGTACAAAATGCTACACAGCAGGGCTGGGAGAAGTGAGAAGTTAGAGCAGAGGAGTGAGAGGTGAGTATGTTTGAGGTTCCCTGGCTTTTCTCACCTCCACTCCCAGAGAGTTATCCTTCAGTACTCAAGTTCCAGAAGGCAGTAGTCTGCAGAGAGTTACAGCTGTGACAATCAGAAAATTCCTTGGAGCAAGGAGGACCGGGCAGGAAACAGCTTCCCACATTCAACACACAGCAACAGCCCTCCTGAGACTTCCTGTCCTCCCATGGCAGTCCAGGCAGAGGGAACACGTGCCTCCCACCCTCTCAGCCCACCCAGCTGGCAGAATCACCTCCCTCTAATCCGTATAAATAGGATGGAGCTACTTCATTCCTCCTCATCCCCCCACAAAAACCTAGAGGGATGGGGCACTGTCCACCCAAGTGTCACTCAGCCAGACTTAAGGGCTACCCTGCAATAGGCATCTGGCCTCCAGCTGACAACATTCAGTAGTGTTCACATGTGTACAAAAATGTCAGCCTACAACAGTGCTTAAAACAAGAACATGAGAGTGGACAGGTTGCCTCTGCTAAGTGTAATAGATTCTGTTGCTGTGAACGCCTGAAGAGGTATTATCATGAAATACTTGTACATCACAATATGTAAATGTATGCAGCTGAAGCTCAAAGCAGTCCATAAGAGCTTCTTTCAGCTTCCTCAGCACCTTATATTTCCGATAAAACATTTTGTTATATGTTTCTGCCAACAAGTTGAAAAATTGGTTGCGTTGTTCTGCCTGACAGGTCTACGTCTCTCCTTGAAGACCTGGCAGTTTAAGGGATGTGCTGAGGCCATCATAGCCTGCAGGGCATGACTTATACAGAAGAATTTCTAAGGGCTTTCTTCCTCATTGATATCTGATAGGAGTCTGACATCTAATTCCTGGGAAAATCTTGGTGAACCCTGTAGGTGACTAATAATTAATTCTTTTGTTCATCTGTCACTGAAGTCATCAGCACAGCATAGTTATCAGTTCCCAAGGATTTCAGTGGCAGATGGGCAGAGTTCACTTAACATTAGATAGCTTAAAATTAGCTCTCTAGTTTAAATTGGTCAGTTCGGTCCCACTGTGGTCAACAACGGGAAGGAGCATCTCCAAAGGGCAAGTTTAAGTCTTGTATAAGTCTTAGAGAGTATTTTCAGAGAGAGCATTTTCAGGCAGGGATTGAAGAGACAGGAGGTTTGCCAGTGTCTCTCTACACAGCTTAGACTACATGGAGCCTTCAGATAGCTGAAGCTGGGTGAGACTAACCCCAGACTGAACAAAGGGATTTTCTGCAACACAATCCACATCCTCTCGCATTTTCCATGCATTTATTTAATTGTTCATACTGGGCTGCAGTGAGCTCTGTGAGATGAGCTTACGACTGACAGTATTGCTTTTAGAACAAGGAGGCAGTCACCATGAATAAGGCATCACATCAGCCCTGTGCAGCATGGGGCTTCTTGAGAAATTTTTTATAAAAGGCTGGATGACTCAGAGGTGGTGTAAATTATTACAGGAAGAACTTGAATGGCTGACAGCATATTGATCCTCCCACCAACACCAGATGCCTTAAAATCCAGTGGTGGATTTAAAGTCATTGCCAACTGCAGACACATGTAAAATTCACATGTGGTATCTGTTCAGGTTCCTCAGTAGACACTTAGAGAAAACACAGCAACTGGCAGTAAAAGCTCATGGTATGTGTGGTGGCAGTGGTGGGAAAATGAATTGCTGTATCACCCCCTGGAGAAGAGGTGGTTTTTGGCAAGGCTGTGGGGAGCTGGGTTGCATCCCTCCTGTCAGTACGGTGACTCCAAGGCCAAAGAACTGAAGTTGTGAAAGCTTTCAGTCTGGTTCTTGGCATTAGCACAGGGCACACCATTTCAAGGAAAACAAGTTTGCAGCAAACATCCAAACCCATCGAGGAGCTGGCAGCTGTTTTCACAAGCCTCGAGACTCTCCAGGCCTTTCTTGGGGAGTTTCTCCAGAACCAACTCCTTCCAGCCCTGCTGCCAAGTGCAAGCTCTCGCTCATCTTGCTCCTCCTCTGTCCACAGGCGTTAGCAGTGGCCGGCCTGAGTCCCCTGCTCCAGCGAAGCCATTCCCCCACCATGTTCTCCCGGCTGTGTGCTACGCCCCCCGCCACCCCCTGCAACCGTGGCTGGCAGCAACAGACCATCCCGACCCTGCGCCTCGACGGGGCGGAGTCCACTGAGAAACTCAACAGCAGCTTCCCGTCGGTGCACTGCGGCTCCCGGTTCCCCGACAGCACCGGCTGCAGCAGCCCCAGGAGAGCCAGGCCAGTGTCCCTCACCGTCCCCAGCCCGACCGCCGGGAGCAGCAGGCAGTTCCACGGCAGCGCCAGCAGCCTGGTGGAAGCGGTAAGACTGCAGAGTCACAAAGGACACTGTTGTCAAGGCCAGCTAGAAACAGGGCCCATGGAAGAGCAGGGCAACAGATACGTTGCTGCCCACAATGCCAAGAGTAGGAGAGCCCATCTCCAAGCAGCATAAATGGGAGATGGACCTCTGGGGAAAACACAGCAGTGGAAGAGGGTTGTGTTAGAGGCATGACAGGGTTGACAATGCAGAGTACTAACATGTGTCTTTGTTTCTGGTTCCCTGCCTGCTTTTGAAGGTCTTGATTTCGGAAGGACTGATGCAGTTTGCTCAAGATCCAAAGTTCATTGAGGTCACAACCCAGGAGCTCGCAGACGCCTGCGACATGACGATAGAAGAGATGGAAAATGCAGCAGACAACATTCTCAATGGTAACAGCAAGCAGAGCCCCAATGGCAACCTCTTGCCTTTTGCTAACTGCAGGGACCCAGGGCAGGACAGTGCAGGAGAGGAAGAGGAAGAGGTGCAGAACCCGGATTGTAGAATAAGTCAGGAGGAGCTCAAGGACAGCAGGATTTATATCAGCAGCCTGTAGTTGCCAGGGCTGGAAGCGATGCTGGTTTTTTATTTGTTTCAATGTTCCTAATGGGTTTGTTTCAGAAGTGCCTCACTGTTCTCGTGACCTGGAGTAACCGGAACAGCGTTCTTCATTCATTTCTGTTGGGACGAGTCGCAGAGTTGGGTGGTGTAAGAAAGCTTTTCAGGAGCGGATATAACCCCAGCACGTGTCCATGAAGGAAGAGTGAAGAGGAGGAGGAAGAGGAGGAGAGCAAGCTCCCTCTTTTTTTCAGTCCCTGCACAAGGAACGACAACTGCCTCCGGAGCACGAAGGGGAACCTCAGCTTCCTGTGGATGGCCCTAGCCAAAAGGACCCTGCGCCAAACGGGTGTCTTTCGACTTTGCTTGTAAAAATCATTTTGCACATATTCTGTATGAGCCTCACCGTCTCCATAAAGCCAAGGCCCTTTGATTTGGAAGGAGAGGAAGACTTCTGCTGTGGATTCCCATGCCGCGAGGGGGAGGAGGAAGCAGGAGAAGCGCAGGGGTGCCCGAGGGGCAGGCGGCGGAGCTGCCCAGCCCCGCCGAGACTCCCAGGCAGTGGTCCCTGCCAACCAATCCGAGCGCAGGCAGCCACTCCTGCCGACCAATCAGAGCTCGGGCAGTCACCTGCCAGCTAATCCGAGCTCAGGCAGCCTCCTGCTGGCCAATCAGAGCTCAGACAGCCAGCCATGCCAGCCAATGGGAGCGCCGCCTCTGCAGCGGGGCGGAGCCGACCTGCCCCACCCATGCTGAGGTGGTGGTGGTGGGCTCGTGTAGATCCCTTCTTGTTTTGCGGTTTGATATTTCCTTGAAAGCATGTTGCAGTTTTTATTTTGACCTTTTTTTCTTTTTTTTTCCTTTTTTTTTTTTTTGAGGGAGAAGGGAGTGTTTACAGCGTTTTGTAATCACCTACCTTTTTTGGTTTGGTTTATTTTCACCTTTGCAAATGTTAAATTGGTTTGATCATGTTGTATTATTTAAACTGGGGTGGGGGGGTCTCCATTGAAATTTGGTAGAAGTATAACGATAATAGACGAGTTTTACCAACCATTATGTACACCAAGAATTTGTAATTTTATTTACTAGTAACTGAAACCTTTTTTTGTTGTTGTTTTATAATTTAAAGATAGTAGGCAATGCACTTGATATAGTCTTGCACATTTGAGTGATTGATTTGGGTTCTTTTTAGTGCTAAGTATATCTGTGAGTGTGGGAGCAATACGGGGCGAGTGTGCGTGTGCGCGCGTGTGTGTGTGTAAGTGCATGCAGCTCTCCACATCCTGGTTTGAGCTGCAGGAGATCTGTATCTGGGGCCATTTGAATGCAAAAACAAACCACTGTCTCTGCTTTTGAAAAAGGGAATCAGTAACTTTGCATTTTCTGTTCCACAAGATATGCAAAAACAATGCAATAATATTAATTTTAAAAATAAAATTGTAAGTTGTGTTGGCATTAAAACTGTATAGAAAAAAAAATTGCGGGGGTGGGGGGAACTAAAAAAAAAAAAAAACCCAGAAGGCGTTACGCTTCAATATATTCCGTGTGATGTTTTATTGCATTGATAATGTTTCTGTTGAAGAAACCGTTATACTTGAATTCAGGTCAGTTTCAGTATTTTTCAAATATTTTTTTAAAATGAATTGCAATTGTGCCAAGCAAAGATAATGAATTGAATTAAGTTTGTTTAAAAAAAAAAAGAAAAAAAAGAATCACTTCTTGTATATTTTGCTGCATGTCAAGTGAATCATTTCGTATTTGGAATGTGCCAAGCTTTACCTTTGAACTTTTAAGTGCTTTTCTACGTGTGGTTGGGGAAAGGGGTACTATTTTTTTTTCCTTTTTTAATTTGTACAATGAACAAAGTGTACCTGGTGTAAGTAACTATTCTGCAATCCACTGACAGGTTGAACGTTACTGATTTTGCATATCTTGTGTTCATTTTCCTTCTTCCTCACCCCCTTTTAACATGCACGATGACTTTATTGGTAGAGAATCTTTCTTCCCTAGACTGGGACATTTTATTCAGGCTTTATTTTCTTTCCTTTTGCTCAATTTCTGTAAAGGTCTCATCCCACTCAAGGGTGGCAAGACCCCCAAGCCCATTTGGCAGATCCATCCTACATAGTCAGCTGGCACCAGCAATTCAAGGAGCGGAGGGGAAAAAAATCTGCTTTCAAAATTATTTAATTAGATAGCTGACCCTGCTCAATTATAGCAGGGTGCTGGGATAAGAAATGCAAGAATCAGAATAGTTAGAAAAGTAAAGTTGTCTAACTCTGTCCTGAACTGAAAGCAGAGGGTAAGCGAGGGAGAGAGCTCTGGATCTTTATTAGGAGAATTGCTGAGACTGGTCAAGATGCAGATGCTGAGTCACTTTTGAGTGTTCCTATGCATAGTCTCAGTCCTCTTCCCAGACTTCAGTGGATGGGTCAGATTCTAAGTCACAAAACATCTGACAGCACAGCGTGTCCCAGCCAGATTTCCTGACTAGTGAGTATGAAACTGTCTTTTCTCACATTGACACTCAGCCCTAACCCATGAGAGAGGCTGAAAAAAACAGGCATGTATTGTTAGATTTTTTGCAACTGATTTTTGTCCAGACTACTGCTGTTTTTTCTCCCTTCTCAAGATGGTTCACAAATTTGCAGATCAGTGCTGAGTTAGGCGGTGTGATCTGACTCAGAGCTAAACTTCCATTCAAATCTTGAGCTTCTGCAGATGTCCGAGAACACCATTTATTGCATACGTTGATTACATTATTTTTGTAATGCTCTCATTTTTCTTCTTGATTCTCTGGGGCATAAAGGAGAAATACCAAAGGGTGGTTTTGACAATGCACTTTTTGAACTGGCCAGTATCAGCTTAAGATACCTTCAAAAAAACCCCAAGTATGTTTAAACTAGAGAAATACAAATCCATTTGTACAACCATCTGTCATCAAAGTCGTAATTCAAGACTTCCCCGGAGAAAGTAACCAGCTGATGTCGGTCAGTCTCACTTTTTCCATCCCTTGTGCCCGTATCAAGATGGGCACACAAGTGTGTCTCCCTTTGAGTTTGTTGCTGCTAGTGCTGATATGCTCCAAAGGTGCTTGAAAGAAAAGAATGCTGTGCCTGGCAGTGTAAGGGCTCCCTGTCTCATTTTCTTCCACTAGAAAGTCCATCTGACTCTCCCAGTCGGAGACAGAAGGTCTTCTCTGCTCCTGACAAACAGAACACTTATCTAAATTAGTGGTGACAAAGGGCATTTTGGATGCTTGGCAGCCTGTGTCATCTTTGAGGACTTTTCTTGATGGGAAGGAAAACGGCGGAAAGGATTATGCCCCACACATTCCTGGTGAAAGCTGCGACTCCCTCAAGGGTCAGAGCCTACAATGCCCAGGGGAAACTCTGCTCTGTCCTAGGTCCTGCAGAGTGGAAAATGTATGGCTAGCAGAGAATGCAGATGGCTTTTGCAGTTTGAGAGGCAGGTGTTAAATTTAGTAATTGCTGGTGCCAGCTGTGCAAATTTCTCTTTCTGGGGAGGGCGGCATTTTTATTTATTTTTTTTTTTCATTTGAGGTACTTCCAATGTGCACATTGTGACAGGCCTGAGCAAAGAGCTACTGCCTCCTTCAAGTGAGGCAGAGTCTGGGGGACAGTGGGAAGGAGGGGGCAGGTTTAGTTCCTGGAGTGTTTTCCTGCATATGGGAGTGGATGGTGGGTACGTACAATCACTGTGCTGTGGGTGGAAGCTTTGAAGGAACCGATGGCTGAGGAGTGGTATGGAAGGAAAGGAAAGAAAGGGGAAAAGAAAACAAATCTGCTGTTTGCCTGAGCCTCTCTGACTTGCAAGAGTACACTGCAGACTAAAGACATTTCTTCTAAAACAACAAACCTCCTCCCTGTATCACTCCTGCTCATTAGTCCAGACAGTACTGGGCCAGCCACACCAGGTGCATTTCTTTTTTTCTTCCTTATTTCTGTGTGGCTGACTTGATGGGAAAGAAAGCAGAACTCATGATCCAGAGCTGGAGTTTCAATACCCACAGACCTGTTGTGCATCATCTGCCTCTTCAGCTGGACATGTGGACGATGATGGTGTAGATGCTGCTGCTACTGCAGGGGTCCCGCCTGGTTTATTACCCTGCCCACCACACCCCAGCACGGAGGGACAGCCAGAGAGGCGCCATGTACAGAATCGCATCTATTTCTGCTTTGTTTTCTGACTCAGAACCCTGCCCCGATGACTACGACAACAATGACGACAACAACAACAACAAAGAAAGGGCAAATGCATTTTTTACATTTCTTGATAATTTCCAAAGCAATGTATCATTGCTTTCTTTAGACTGACGCCAATATAACAGTTGTATGGGTCTCAGCCAGGCTCCTGTGTCTTTTCTGCCTGATAGTTTCAGATTGCTCTATGGAATGTATGCGCTTTGCACACAGACACAATCATACGGGGTGGCGGCACCACGAGCCCGTGGGGTTGCTCACCTGAGTCACAGATGAAGTTGGAGGCCTTGCTTCGTACGTTTAGATGAGAAACCCCGACCCACTGGTCCAGTGAGCTGAAGTGAAGCAGCCCTGCTGGGACAGAACTGAGTATCCTAAGATATATGCATGGTCCTGTCGTGACTGTCCCCATGGCAGGGGCAGGGTGGGGGACAGGAACACTGAATGGGGAATTTGGAGCACAGCCAATATAAAATAAGTAGAATCCAGTTGGGGTTTCTCGTAGTGGTGAGATTTTTATCAGTTCCCATAATGAAAACTGTAGTGCATATAAAGAAAACATTCCAGAGCATCAGAAGCCCCCGTTCCCATCTTGCTAACATGGAGGCTGGAGGGCACTAGAGGCCACAGAGGTTTTATTGATACAAAGAATGTGGAAAACAGAACTGGGCCCTGAAAAATTTAATTATGTTTTCCCCCCATTTATTTTCTTCTTCAAAGAAGTCTAACAAATATAATTCTCAGTAGCTGCACAGGGTTTCTTTTTTTCTTCTTCTGAATGCTGCAAAGTTTTTAAAGTTTTATTCCGTAAGCAAGCCCAAGAATCCAGAAGGTTTCCAGTGGGATCTCAGTCTGTGGAGCTTTTATCCCTGTTCCTGCTTTGTTTCTGAACAGCTGAAACCACTACGGCCTTGCTGCTAGAGTACTCTGAGGTGGGAAGGGCAGGGTGGGGGGTGAGGGCAGAAGGACAGCAAGAGACATGTCCTGAACTGAAAACAGATGGGGCTCCAATTGCTCTCAGAGAAGTCAGTAGCATCACACTGGAATGGAAAAAAAAACAAAAACAAAAACCTCTTCTGATACAAACTTTAGTGTTCTAGTTAAATCCTCCATTCTTCCTCTGCCCCTTATGGGGAGCTTAGCTGTTAACACTTGAGCATAAAAAACAGGCCTTCTTTAGGGGCACAGGGCTCGACTCAGTTGCCTAAATGTGGCATCTCCTGTTGCTTGAGATACCCTACAGTACCCTGTCGGGTCTGCAGCAGCTCGTTCAGAAAGGCACAACTCTGCCCCAGGCAGGGCTGGTGTCACAGCCACCAGCCCCAGAGGATGGCAGAGATCTCAGGTGGCCGGAGACAATCGGGCAACTTAATCAAGTCCCTTTCTAAAGGGCTAATTGAGAGGAGCAGCACCTATGACTGATGTAATGAGGGAATCTTCATTAGCATTACCAAGGGCTTAGTTAGGCAGGACCAGGAGCTTGTCTGCACACTCCCATGCCGTTGTTTTTCTACCCCAAGTCAGGCACACAGCCTCCACTCCGACAGGCTGACGTTCACAGCGCTCTGCCCAGCCCTTACGTTAGGCCAGGTTCAGCGGCTGCATCCCAGGCCCAGTGGAACAGGGGCAAGCCCAGGCGAGAGCAGGCATCACTCCCCCCGACAACGAATTTTCCTGCCAGTGTTCAAACAGCCCCTTTCCAAAGCTTTATCCTATTCAAGACAGACCCACAAACTCAGACACCATTTGCTAGCCTCATAATTTGGATGAAGAGATACCTGTGTTTTTCTGTTAGCTCTTTCCCCAAACAGGCTTTTAGTATTTTAAGCATCCTGAGTCAGTCTGCTCCCATCTCAAGCACCTAGGTAGACTGGCAGCCAATACTATCTAAATATCATCAACTTTATGATTGCTCATAGAAATGATTGTTTCAAGCTTATTCAGTCTTGACAGTTTGAATGTGGGAAGATTTTGTAGGAGGAGGAGTGAGATTGTAAATATCTCTTTGACAAACATTGCTGCATCACACACAAAAAAATAAAAAGGGGAGATACTTATAAAACTGCCTTAAAAATCAATTCTGAATGATGACATCTCCCTCCAAACAATTGCCGCTTGATAGAGCAAGGAATGAGTCACTTTGGGTGAATTCTGGCAAGAAGTGGTTGGAATCTAGTCCTGTTTCAGGAGTGAAAGTAATTTAGGAGCTGATCTCTCAGTCTGAATTCACATCAGCACAGATGACTGAGCACTGCAGGATCAAACCAGTTTAAGGTCTGGGGGGTGCTGTATCTGGCCTGCACCTGCATGGTTTGGGTGTGGCCCGGCAAGGTACCGGTGTTTCCCAGTGACTTCAGGGAAGATGGGGTTCCTCAGCACCTCTTAAGTTCAGGCCCTGGAGCACCATTTCCTGCTCTGATCATCAGCTATAAATGTTGATAAATATAAGTGTTTTGCCTTCATTTGAATTGCCCAGAGCTGTAAAATGACCTCTCTCAAGTATAAATCAGCCCAGATATAAACCTCCTCTCCCACTCCTCCCTACACTCCCTGCCCACCCTCCCAGCCCTCCCTTGCACCTCCACCCAAGCCCTTCCCTGTCTCAATTCTTTACCTCCTGCCACAATTTTATATCTAGTTTTCATGAACCCACAGAAATGCTTTTGTAAATAATGCTGTACAGTTTGTAACCGTCATGTAAGCCTGTCATCAGTGCCAGAGTCCGTCTTGCCCTCTCGCACGTTTTAAAATCAACAGAGGAAAGTTAGAGTGAGTGGCCCGCCAGTGAGCTATAGGGTCATCTCTGTGTGGGACAAATGTATATTCCTGTAAGATTGCATTTTTATCTAAGGAATGATGTTATTTTAAAATTGCTAATAAATTTCTAAACAATGTCCAGATTTGTTTAATATTGTAAATGTTATCAAAACTCCATTTGACGTTGCTCCCTTTTCCCAGCAGTGGCTGAAAAATAAGACGGATTCCTGCAGCCCTTTATTTCCCATCGGCAGCCCTGCTGCCAATCATGCGCTCCCACCTGTATTTAAGGGGCTGCAGAACAGTCTTGACAGTCACAGCCTGCCTTGATAAACAGTAACTTAGGAAATCCAACCGCTCTCTGTGCTGTTGTCACCGCAGAAATTCTGCCATGTCACGATGTCCAACGTGTGACTCATGCGTAACCACACATTTAACATTTTCTCTACTGGGTTCCTTTTTACCAAGCACATGCAACTAAAAAACCGAATGCCTGCAGCTTAAATATGGTGTAATTAGTACATACATAAGCCATGAAGCTAATGGGATGATAACAAGTAACATACCATGCATGCACTTTTCGATTGAATAAATTTGTTCTACCACGGTTATCAAGCAATTACGCCACAGTGCCAGCTGAGCAGTGCCTTTCTGTCATAGCACTGTAAATCACAGTGTGCTCAGCCCAAGTACAGCAGTATAAGATTGAGTAAAATAATGCCTAAAGAAAAAAGAATGTGGGGTTTTTTTCAGTTACGTGTATATATATATATTCTTCCCCCTGACTCACACACAGCTGTCAGAACTGCAGGCTTTGCTGCTACTGTTAATTAGTGGTGGCACAAAAGGCTGAAATTCAGGAGTTGATGAAAACCTGTGGATGTCAACAGTGCTGGATGTTGGAATGGCAGAACGATCACCAGCAGAAATCTCGTTATCTGCAGGCTCAGGCTGGCCATCAGTCAGACATTTGCCACCACAAAACCATATGAAAGTGCCGTGGCTGCTGGTCAAAGCCCAGCAAACAGTTCAGCTTTGCTAAAAAACACCCTGAGCCGGAAATTCGGTGGAGCTCCCTGGGGCTCGGCTACAGCTCTGTGTGACACCATGAGGTGAAAACCATGGCAAAAAAAACGGGTGAAAGCGGCTGTGGGCGTGTTGCAGTGTGAAGAACAGCGTGAAACCTCGAGTGAAGCCTGTGAGACAGCTGAAAAGGGGGGAGAGTCAGGAATGAGTAACAGGTTTCACAGCCCCCTGTGAAGTGGTCGCATTTAGAACAGCCCCTGGACAGGAAAAGCACAGCATACACCTATACTGCGTTTTATTCAGCAGCTGCACACTGCTGCTGGTGTCAGCTTTTAATGCTCACGGCATCTACCCGAAGCCAGAGGCGAGCACCGGGAGTTTCACCTCAGCGTGAAGAACTTCTTCGGGGGGGGCAGAGCCCTGGCACAGGCTGCCCAGGGAGGTCGTGGAGTCTCCCTGTCCGGAGACATTCCCAACCCACCCGGACGCGTTCCTGTGTCAGCTGCTCCAGGTGACTCTGCCTTGGCGGGGAGGGGGCGGAGGGGTTGGACTACGTGATCTCCAGCTCTGACGATTCTGCGATGAGCCCGCACACCTCGGGACCCCCCGCGAACGCGAAGGCAACCCCCGGGCAGAACCAGGTTTGGCTGCCCCCAGGGAAGCGCTGTGCCCAGCGGGGCGGAGCCGCTCGGAGCTCACTCAGCCCGGCCTGGCCCGGCCCATCCCAAACAACCGGCCCCACATGGCGGGCGGGGCCGGGGCCCCGCGGACCCGCCACAGCACCGCCCCGGCCCCTCCTCAGGTGCGGCCGGCGCCGCCCCGCGCAGGTCGGGGCCCGGAAGGCCCGGGGCGGCGGTGGCGGGAGGCGATGGCGGGCGCGGGGTCGCGGCGGCTCCCGTTGGGGCCGCTGCTCCTGCTGCTGCCGCCCCTCCTCCTGCTGCCCCCCGGCGCGGCCCTGCGGCTGCTGCTGGACGCCGCGCCGCCCTTCACCTGCTCCCAGCCGGTAAGCGCGGGCAGCCCCCGGGACCGCCGCGGCCCGGGCGGGGGCGAGGAGCCGGGAAGTTGGGATGGGGGAAGCGACGGCCGGCGCCGCGTCGCTGTGCCCGGGAGCGCCGGTGCGGAGCGGAGCCTGGGAGCGGGGGAGCGTTCCAAGCCCCGCAGGACTCGGCTGGCCGTGCGATGGCCGCCGGGAAGCGCCGGTCGCTGACATCTCCGGGGGGCCGCCCGGAGTCACTGGGCAGGATGTGAGTCTTTGCTAATCGCTGGCGTTGCCTCACGTCCTAAATGTTTTAAGCTGTTCCTTGAAGCTGGGGGTTGGTTTGTTTGGGGTTTTTTGTGGTTTTTCTTTTAGGAGAAAGCAGGGAATCGCTTGTGAAGGAGTAAGGAAACAAACATATGCTTGAGAGTTTTGAACTGGCAGATTTTGGTTGCGTTTTCTCCCTGTGAACCCAGCCAGAGAGGAGGTGCAGATTTGGGGTCCGTATGAAAGGTGAACTAACCAACATGAGCTAACTTTGGCACCCCAGAGTATGAACTCCGAGCTGGTTCTGGTCGCTCCCTCTGCTGGTTTTTGGGGTTTGATTTAGATTTGTTTTGTCGATGGTCACTGTTGGGTTTTTTCTACCTAAGATACGTGTGAGGAGTGTGTAGAATAAGGGAGAGATCTGCTTTTGCTTTTTATCTCTGACAACGATAGCGGTTCATGCATAAACAGGAAAATGGGCAGTTTTCTTCTAACCTAGACAGTTTTGTATGTCATGATGCACTTTCAGCAGTCTAGCGAAGGCAGCTGGTCAGGTGCAGCTATAAAAGCTATAAACAAATGTAAAACAAAATCTGTCCTTTGGGATGAAAGCTTCTGTAATCTTTTCCTGTACACATTTCCTGTTTTTTGTCTAGTCTGACTTTCCGACTCCTTTCCTAATGTTTGACTCTATCCTTACCTCTCTTTTACCTGACCTCCACTCTGCTGCCTTCACTCCTATTACAAAGACCCCAAGAAAACAGACCACTTCTGCAATTTTACTTTAGACTGGGCATTGTGGAATTACGAAATGCAAAATCTTGGAAAAGTGGAAAGAAGACATTACAATATTGCTTAGGCATCTCGCATAACCACGATATCCCAAACGATTGTCACGTGGAGATTGAGATAAATTATTAGAGAGTTTCTGTGAGTCCTTGGATGCTTGGGCTTTGCCTGACTGTGTCTTGCTGTCTTGCACCTCCTTTTTTTTTTTAGGAAATGTGAACCACAGTAACTTGTTGAGGGCTTCACCAGTGCATCCCCAACTTTCACTGAGGAGCGGTGTTGCCCCACGCTCTGGGTGTGCTCACAGATCACTTAATGTGCAAGGCTGCTACTTTGGCCTTTTCTATCAAAAAGCAGGTTTCTAAAATGCAGATAGACTTACGAAAAAGGCGTTGTCTTAAGCCCCCCGAGGAGCCTCTCTAGAAGCAATTGTGAAGCTGCTGACACAAACAGAAAAAAGTACCATCAACTGAAGTTTTGACAGTTGAAAACAGTTTCCCCTTCCCTTTCTGTTGGTTGCGCCGTTTTCGGAGCATGATTCAGTAACCCTCCCAACGTGTGACTGCGGTGTCGTTCAAAAGAGAAGCTGTTGCTGAGCAGGGTGGGGGAGACCCACTTCCTTTTTCTAACCCACCCACTGCCGTTGCCGAGCTTTGCAGCAGGTCAGGGTGAGCAACAGCAGCTTTTTCAGCAAATCTCTCATGCAGCAAAGGCTGCTCGAAAGATAAAGTGGTGGAGGGAAAGTCTCATGTCAGTGTCTTTAGACACGTGTAAATTGTGAAAGTAAAACTAAATGCTTGTTAACAGCTCATCTTACTAAAATGTCAACAAATGCACTCCATGGGCTTTATTCACCACCACTCCATCAAACCTGCTCGGCTGTAGGGCTGAATAGCACAGCTGGAAGTCCAGTTCCTTCTAGTAAGGAATATTTGAATATGTCATCTGCAGGAGTTTTTTGCTATGCACAGGGGAAATACATCTCACAGCTTATATACCCATCTGGTTGTTCATCAAGTGTTAAATGACTGTGTTCAGTCACTGGGCTGTAGCTGTTTCCGAACATGGCATGCCTTGGTGTCCTGGAGGAATGCAGTGTTTGTAACTCTCCCATCTTTGAGGGGCTGCATAGTTGGATAGTTGGGTCTCTGAAACCTATCTTACCAGCTTGGTGGATATTCACTACAAGTCTCCGGAGAAGAATTGATGTAACATCTCTCATGAAGATGAGCAGTGGTGGTGCATGTGAGGAAGGCTTTACAAAGGTGTTCATTTTGCCTTTGCTATTGACTGGCTTCTCTCATTCCCCTCTGTGGCATCTTTTTGCTGTGTAGGATGTTGACATAAACTGTGGTCCACTTAGTGCTGGCTTTGAATCTGATTTTGCTGAGAATTTATATGAGGGCAAGAGAAAAATTTAGAAACTATAGAGAAAAATGCTTTAAAAAATCAAAACAGTTTTGTAAAAGATGGTTGTTTCCTACGAGCCTTAAGCAAATCACCCTTCAGCAGTTATTCCTGTAGTGTGTTCATGTCCACTTGATCTTTATTTCTTTTTACTGAGGAATCAGAAAGGGGAAACTGCAGTAAACTTCAAATCATCCAAGCCTCAGAAAATACACAGAATCAGTCATAGGCAAGAGGAGGATTTTGGAAAGCTGGACCCCTTCCCATTCAGCAGCCACTCTTTAAAGGAAAACTGGACACTTGCCCAGCTCAGCAGTGGTTTCTTGCTAGTTACCACAACATCCTGCTGGGAAATCTTGGCCCCATGTTACTTTAATTGAATTGCTATGGGATGATGCTGTTAATCAGTTTCTCTTTTTTTTCTTTTTTTTTTTTTTTCAGATTCTTCTGATTCTCTGGGGCATATGGTCTATTTGGGTTTGGGGTTTCTTTTAATGTCAAAAGCAAAACAAAAATCATTAAAAAAGAGTGAAGGAAACAGTTGCTTATCTTTCTGTGAAAATATGGCAAGTAAACATGACAAGTTGACTGTGCCTGTCCTCTTCTGCTGATAATAGTTTCAGCATCACCTCACAATCGTCTGCTTCTCATATTTATGGCTCCCCTCTGTGTAGCTTTGCTTGTCGGGCCTGAAAGGCAATAGGAAGCTGCTGAGAAGAGAACATTTCAATTTAAGCCCCTTCTGTAATAATGTGCAGAGCATGTTGCCTGACTGTGAGCTCCATCTTCAGCTTTTCTGCAGAGCTCTTAATTTTTGTTCCTTCTCCTCCTGTTTATCTGCTTGTCTGTTGTATGCAGACTGACACATCTCTGTTCTGTCAGTGCTTCTTACATGCTTCTAGCTCTGTGTAGGCAACCAGAAACAATCATTGCTGTCATTTTATTTCTACTGTATCACCTAAATATGTGCTTTTTCAATGTAATGGTTTAAGCCCAACTGGCAATTAAGCAGCATGCAGCCACTCACTCTCTCCCCCCACAGGATGGGGGAGAGAATCAGAAGGGTAAAAGTGAGAAAAAGTGAGTGTTTGGGATAAAGACAGTTTAATAAGTAAAGCAAAAGCTGTGCACACAAGCAGAGAAAAACAAGGAATTCATTCACCGCTTCCAGTGGGTGGGGAGGTATTCAGGACAGCAGGCCTCCACCATGCCTAATAATGACTTGGGAAGACAAATGCCATCACTCCAAACATTCCTCCCCCCTTTCTCCTTCTTCCCCCAGCTTTATGCACTAAGCATGATGGTATGGACTATCCCTTTGGCCAGTTGGGGTCGTCTGTTCCAGCTGTGTCATTCCCTTAGTTTATGGGCCGCTCCTGCAAAGTCTCCACAAAATGTCCATTGAGTTCATTTAGTCCATGATGTTGTGCTCCATCTGTTACGGTGGTCACTCAGGACAGGAGAGGTGGTGTGTTGGAGGACTTATTGGGCACTAAATCCAGCTCAGGTCTGGTCACTGCTGCACTTGCACTGCTTCTTGTAAGGCTTGTCCTCCTGAGGTTCAGGTGGTTCCTGTTACACTAATTCCTACAACATGCAATTCAAATGACGAGTTAGAACAATTTAAAGGTATTTCCATTACAGTCTCCACTTCTGGTCCTTTTGGGCCATCTTATATGGTTTAACATTGCAATGAACTCCTCCCCTTGCTCCCAGCCTGGCTGCAATAAGAGATTCCTGCTTTAGCCCACTGTGGGCTGCCAGGGAACAGCCTGCTTCACCATGGTCTTCACCACAGGGGGCAGAGGGATCTCGCACTCTCCCTCCTCCAGCGTGGGGTCCCACCATGGGAGACAGTCCTCCATGAAGTTCTCTGACGTGAGTCCTTCCCACAGGCAGCAGTCCTTCACAAACTTCTCCAGCGTGGGTCCCTTTCACAGGGTGCAGTCCATCAGGAACCGGCTGCTCCACCGTGGGTGCCCCACAGGGTCACAAGCCCTGCCAGCAGACCTGCTCCAGCATGGGCTCCTCTCTCCGTGGGTCCACAGGTCCTGACAGGAGCCTGCTCCAGCATGGGCTTCACACAGGCTCACAGCTGCCTTTGAGCATCCAGCTCCTCCAGCATGGGGTCCCTCCATGGGCTGCAGGTGGATCTCTGCTCCACCATGGACTCGTCCCTTTGACTCTGGTTCACACTGGAGTTCCAGCCTGTCCAGTACAGCAGTGATGCCCTGACCATTTGCCAGCCCAGACACTCTGCCACTGCTGTTATCAGAGTAATTGCAACAGAACAAGGACAAGATGACTGAATGTTAAATGATAGGATTTAACAGAAGTCGTTCAATTACAAAAAGCCCCATGGTTAGTAGCTAGTTATTTTTGTTACCTCTCATTGGTTCACCCCAGCCAGCAGCTCAGCCCCGTGTGGCTGCTCACTCCTTCCCCTCAATGAAATGCACCATATCAGCTGCTCTGAAGAAAATTATCTCAGACGAAACTACTGCACCTTTTTACACAAAGGGCATTGTCAGGCTAAATAGTTTACCTAAAAAAGTCTGGTTAAGTGTTAGGAGTAATTTTCGTAGTTTAATCGACTTTTCCATGCTGGCACTTTACAATTTTTATTTTTCCCTTTGTTAAATGATTGTAGTTTAGCTGGTTTTGGTTTGGTTTAGTCAGCATTCACTTCTTTGCTTTTTAGGTTTTTCCCTTTATCAAAGGATGTAGGTTGCAGGTACTATGTGGGAATGTCCTGCAGTGGCATGGGGGCAGGGAAACCTGATCTGGGAAGTACAAAGTTTCAATAATATTTCTATTAACTATACTTGTAACCAGTTTCTCTTAAGTCCGACAGGATCTATATACACAATGGAGGATTTATCTGTACATTTGTCTGCAATAATTAGATGCAGTAAAGTACAGTTTAGACTAAATTGATATTTATATTCAAATTGATCATGTTGATTCCCCTCGTTGTGGCTGACTTGACACTTGAGCACAACAAAAATAATGAAAAGTACCTCTTGCTTGTCCTTATATTGACATTAAGTTCAGATTTATTTTGCTTTTGATTATGTTAGAGCTACTCTGCCCCACATAGGGCACGGCTGCACAGCTTTTGGGGCTGCTTATACCAGGACTCCCATCTAGCATCCTATGGGACTGTCCATCTTTAGGTGTTTTCGGAGTTAGTGCCACAAACCCAGTGTTATAAAGGTAAGAGAGGTCTTCATTGTCAGGTTTAAGTTCTGAATCCTCATCAACAGACTGATGGCTCCTCATCCTCTCCTTTGGTTTTCTGATGAACCACTTTGTGCAGTGTTTCCATGATGGTAAATTCTTCCCGTTTGTGTGCGTCACTGAATTCACTGAATTGGTTTTTTCCTGCCCTTCTCCTGCCACCAAGCAGAGGCAAATTACTGTCAATCCAGTTTCTATTCTGAGAGTAACATTCTTGTTTCTTTCCCCCCACAGGATTTAAACTGTCTCGTAAGAAATAGTAAGTATTTTTTTTTCCTCAATGCCGGTTTCCCAACAAAACAAGCCTTTTTTAATTTCTTTTTTTAACAAGGGTTCATACAGCATGTTTTTCCTGCTGGAATCAGAGTTGTGAAGTGAAGCACTGCTGTCTTGCTTTGCTTTGGGAGATTCCAGTTTCATCCCTTAATAAGCACTGGCTAGAAGAGGAATGGAAAGTTATGTCTTTTTTGGGATAGAGTTTGGGGGTGGGCAGTGGCATGGGTGGAACCCAACCTAACTTGTTTAGTTTCTATCTAAAGCTGGGATCATCATTTTTAAAGAAATGGGAATTTTAGGACAAGTTTGCCAGTAAATGTTCATTACAAGTCATTCTATCTATGATAGTACTTGATGAAAAATTAATGTATGGACTAGAATTAAAAAGAAGGCATAGAGGTGTGCAGTTGAGAGCAATTAATGTAAATTATTGGGTGTTGGGGTCAAGTCTTAGCAATGGCATGCATCTGAAGCACTTTAATGTAATTATGGGTAACGTTCTTAAAAAAAAGGAGAATGTTCTGTAGTTGTCCACTTGATACCCAGAGGCAACTGGACAGTGGTGCAGAACTCCTTGGCCTTTCCTTGCAGTCCCTGTTCTAAGCAGGCTCATTCTTGCCTCAGTGCCCAATCCTGTATTGGACTGGCACAAGTATTTTTGTAGCCAGTAGTACTTTTTGTAGTATCATTGCTTGGCTTGCCAGGTCAGGGAGATGACTATGCTGAAAATACCCAGGTTTTAAACTTTTTTTGGCAGGAGAAGGATTTGGTGGGATTAGATTGGATCATATTTCCCACTGGCAGACAGCCACTGGAATACATCTTGACAACAAGGCTAAGCCAAACTGCACCTCCACCATTAAAATGCTGCCTTATTTGAATATTTGGTTTAAATTCTGCCTTATGGCTCTTGTTGTGTTTTTCTGCTCTAGGGGAAATATATTTTTTTTAGTGCCTAGCACACTCTTTTCTGAAAGGTATTCTTGTCAGGCTTTTTATAGATATTTTTTGGTAGAATGAGCATGTGGGGATCATCTAATTACTTCCTAAGTATAAAACCATGCTGTTACCAGAAGGGATAGTGCCCACTGTTCCCATCACTAACCCAGCAAAACAGACTGAAAGTGTACTTTGGGGGGCCTGACTGTGCAATTTTTAACATGCTCTGATAAGTCAAATGTCTTACAAAATCTAAGTAAATCAGGTCATGCCTGTCAAACCTGATTTCACTTTCTGATGAGATTACAGCACCAGTTTTCTCTAACACTGTGTTGACTAGAGTAGTTTATTTTTCTGTCCAGAGAGCTCATTAATTTAGGTAAGGCATAACACTGTTGGAAGCTAAATTCAGATGTATATTCAGATTCGAGGTAAAGCAGTTTTTAGACACAAAGTAATTAACAGTTGGAAGAATTTCCCTGGGTGTCTGACAGATTTCTTATGATTGGAAGGCTGGTAATTAGTACTAACATGGGTTCATTTCAGCACCAATGTATGGACTTACTACAGGAGATACTGAGCAAACTTCCTTGACCTGTTTAGCCTGAATACATTGATTGAGGTAATTACTAATGGATTTTCAGGAAAAGAGGAAGTATAAGCTCCTAGAACGAGTTCAGAATATTACAGGCAATTTACAAAGTACTTCCATGCTGAAAACTGCCTTTTTGAATTGGGGAGCTGTCTGTCACCCAGTTTTGCCTTCAGGATAACCCTGACCCAAAGGGCAGACCATAACTGCCATTAAACAGAGCTTCTTCAACCCCCCTCTGAATGGTGGTTTTCATTTGCTGGACAGGTACCTGCATGGAGTCGAGCTGGCTGAAGCTTCGAGATTGGACTCCTTCTGCTCCAAGCAGTCTTCATGTCTCTTCTCATGTTTTCCATCAGGTGGATGGAAAACTGCTCCCTGTGCTTCAGATAGAATGGAAAGTGGCCACTGATGGTAAGTGATGGTTGTTTAATTTGAGCACGAAGCAGAGGAAATAGGTGTGGTCTCGTGAGGAGAATTGTGACTTCAAGGCTTTCACTGTCACGAAAGCAGACCTTTGAAATTTAGGAGTTTGGCTGCTTAATTTTGTTGATTTGGGGGTTATAATCTCGTCCTTGTAACTTAGGTTTCCTATATGGGTGTGTGTCTTCATAAAGGAATAATTGTCCCATTGCTGGAGCATAAATTAGTACTAGTAAGTCAAGTTTTCTCACTCTCCAAGTGTCTTTAATTGTTTGTTTGTAAGTGATGCTTCCCTTGCACACTCTTGTCCAAAGTTTTACACAGATTTAAGATGGAATTAAACACATTCATTTCTTCCTTCTGCAGGGCCTGTGTCTGAGGGCTATATAAAGTTATGACCTATAGCTATAGTAGTGTAGAAGCGGGTGTGACTCAGGTAACACAGTCATTTTCTTCAGCTGTGGTTATAAACTTTCTCATTGGGACTGTGTGTACCAAAACAAAAGCATATTTACTTTGGGGCCCAAACTGCATGAAGCAGCTTTGAGGGGCAGAGCTAAACACAGCACTGAATCTATGGAACTGCCAGGGAGTGTGGAAGAATGCAGTTGCCTTCTCCTTTGCTCCTTCATCTGCAAAGATGTAGCTCTTGCCATGCAGGACAACCTTTAAGCTGAGAGTGCTGTCAGTCAACCCTGCACGCTCACTTTTCGTGGCCAGTTATCTTTGTGTTGGGATCCCCAGCGCTTCAAAGGAGTAAGACTGTGACAAGGCTAAGCACAGTGGTGACCTCTGGGGGGGGTTGCAACCTCTGCACGTGCAGATGGCAGGAAAAGACAGGCATGTCTCTGTGTCCCTGTGCCTGCAGCCAGCATCCGCTGTCTGGAAGGGGCAGAGCTCGCCGTGCTGCAGGTGAACAGCAATCAACAGGTCTGTGCCCAGTTTGACTTCCAGAACAATTTGCCTCTTCAGGTCCGTCCGGATGGAGGCCGGGTGAGTGCCAAGGGCTTTAAACTACTTCTCCTAGTTCATGGCTTTGTTTCTGCTTTCACTGTCTTACAGCAAGGTTATTGATTAAAAAGTACAGACTGGTTAGAAGAGTTGGTGAAACAGTCGAGATATTGGACTTGACATCTGCAGTCATTTCCAGTTTCTCTTTCACTCTTCCCATCCCTCAGGTTTTAAAAATTATTGCTCTTGTTTGGTGCCTACCACAACCAAGTTCTGGATGTTGCTTAGTTTTTAGAAGTTTTTGGATTCTGCTTGAGAGCTATGACATTTTATAGCTTTTTTTACCTTAGCCCTTCCTTTTATTTCCACTTCTTTCCTATACTCTCTTGCTGTGGAGGAAAGTGCCAACCTTGGGGGCGGTCCTTCAGCTTACACTCCTTCTGGGAAACTCATCAGAAAAATGCTGAGCATCCACAGCTCCCTTTATAAACAATAAGGAATCTGGAATTTTTTCCTTACCACACAGAATTTGGCCGTAGTTAGCTTATCTTCTGGAGCCAGTGCCTCTCCCACAATTTGCACAGCATTGCTGATGTGGAAAACAGTATAGATTTAGGATAATATGTATGGAATGGCCAGGTACAGAACTGCATATGTATAAGTGCAATACTAAATGCTTAGCACTTGCACAGCACTGCAAGATTCATACTAGACTAAAATTTTAGTCTTGAAACTGTGTATTTTAGCCTAATCTCCTTTCAGTTTAGAATGTAATTTAATGGAAACCACACAGTTGTTTGGCATAAAACTGCTGTATCAGTTCAAAGATATAAACTCATTCCAAACAGAAGAGTTGGGACAGACCAAGGGACTGGTACATTTAGTACACTTAAGTTCCATTTTTCTGTAGTCAGGCTGCAGTAAAAGGGTTACATGGGATGAGGGAACACAGTGGAACAGGGCCAAGTCAGCTGTTAGTTTCAGTACCTTTAAAGAACATCATTGTCCTTTTAAGTCCATGTGGATTTGGTTTGTTTTCAGTGGAATTTCACTTTTGACCGTTTTGAAGTGGAACCTGGCCAGACTTACCAAGTGACTGTCTACCACCTGCCCAAGCTGGGTGTAAATGGAGACTACAACTGCAAGTCCACGTCTTTCACAGTGCCTGGTAAGAGATGCTCTAGTTCACTTAGGCCTTGAGCTTGGGACTGTAGTGGTTTGTGGACCTGGGTTGGGTGTTTTTCCGGTCCAGACCCGTGAACTGTGAGCCAGTTTGGCAATAGGGTGGCAGTATTAAAAAAACCTGTTGTCCTTTTTGGATATTGCTGTTCAGAAGATCCATGGTGCTAGCCTATCTCCAGTACCCCTGTGGTACATACCCAAAATGTTTGTATCATTTTTACTACAAATCACCATCCTTATTTCTGGGATCCTGTGTCCAGAAGTTTGTCAAGTCTCTGCTTGGAATAAGGTGTGTGTGGAGGGACTATTCCGTGAAGGACGGACCCTTTGATTCCAGTTGACTGTAGTTTCTGCATGGAAGATACTGCTGTAAAAATTGTTACATGCTTTCTGGAAAGCTGGACAAAGCCTTGGACTTGGGCTGCTGATTTCTGAGAAATTGCATTTGTAGCTTGTCCAGAATTCTGCTGCAGCTATGGCTAAAGAGAAATTCACAGTTAAACCTGAAAAGGAATATAAGTGCCCCTCTGAGGGGCTAATTGAATGTGAGTTACATCTCCTAAATTTTGTTGCTGAAGTGCTCGTCAGTTGAGCAAGCACAAAGCGATTTCACCTCTGTGAATGGGGCTGTGGAGGAATCTTTCATGTTCTCTGCAGAATGTCGCTGCTACTTTAATTTAAAATCTTTCAGAGTTGCCCCTCTGCTTGTGGAAGCTGGAAGTACAGGCCAGAATTTTGAAATTCGAAGGAGTAAAGTTTGGCTTCTAGTATTAAAGCTTACACATGTGAAGTTCCATTTCAAAGGCAGAGTTAGGCATAATTTACCAAGAAACTTGATAGTGCTGAGTGCCTGACCCTTTCTTGCGTATGTGAACATTTTCCTGTTGCTAAATGAATTTTTGTGGTTTTCCTCAAGGATGCTGAGCATCTGCAGTGCCCTCTGGCTGCACTGACTGGCTTTTAAGTATTTGGCACTTAATACAGAGCTTGAAAACTGATTCTTAACTTTTTTCTTAACTTCTTATAGTTGTCAACCTGATTTTGTAGTTATAAAATGGCAAGGTATGGAGTGTATCAGTCAATGTGAGCTGGAAAAGGAGAGGGAACACTTGATTCTCAGCCCTCTTATCTTTTTTTATACCTGGTCGCACTAAGAACTTCCTGGCTTTTATCCTCCACTCTTCTTCAGAAACCTGATACATTCTTACACATGAATTACAGGAGCACTGTAAATTTTCCAGCTTTGAAAACTGGAAATGTAAGAGATGCAACATTTTGTTTCAACTGTCTAAGCAGGGAATTTTTCCTTTTTCTTTATCCAAACCCTGGAGGGGAGGCATAGTTTAGGCTGAGACTTGTAAATCCCACAATGCCACGTTGAATGTGTAATTCTGGATTTGACTCTGAAGAAATTCCCAAAGAGCAGGGACAATCTGATAAATGAATTGAATTATAAATGTGGAAGAGTGCTTTGGAATCAAGAAAGATTCCTCCTAGTTTTCCCGGGTCAGAATGCCTTCAGAGGAGTCTATTGCTGTGGTGCAATCACAAGGTGTGGAGAACAATATGAAGTTTTAATTCCACTTTTATGACCCTTTCTGCACAAGTCTTACAGTAGCAAGGCTTCTCAGATATTACTGTACTAACGAGTATGGTATGTTTTCTGTCTTTTCTTATTAATTATCTCTGTTCAGAAAAAAAAAAGAAAAAGCACACCATTACATCAGTGGAGGGGGCTGTTTATACACTGGAAATCAATACTATTCTTCTACAGAATTTTGCTACTGCTTTGGAACAAAGGTGTCCACTCGTTAGGGAGAGCTTGGTTAGGTATCTGGCTTCTGATAAGAAAGTGTGTTTTTTTTGCTAAATGGAAGTACAATGTTTCTGACTACTCACTTATGGTCTTTCTTGCAGACTGCAGCGATTCTCTGATGAAAAAAACCATTCCATGTATAAAGACAGGTAAAAATTTTTTAGTCATGTGGGCATGGATGCTATGCTGAAATATTTCTGATAGTTATGAAACGCAGGAGTATCTTCCCTACTTCCAGGCAGCTCATGGGAACCCGGGATCCAGGGTAAAAGTCTAGATGATACAACTCTGCTCGTGAGCTTCACCCCATGGATGGAGCCAGCCCGATACCACATTCATGTGGCCAGTTACCTGCATGAGAAGAAGTGTAAAATGATCACACATGATTTCACTGAGGTAATTCCCATCCCAAATTATACCTTCTGTGGTGATTTAGACAAACGTCTCAGGTAGTTGCTAAACCAGGACTTGGAGCCGTGATGTAGGAGATGTAGCAAACATTTGAACAACAGTTTTCAAGGAATTGTTTTCACAAATTTTTCATTGCCTTTGGAAAGAGGAGTGTTATTTCAGGAATTTGGTGGATAAAAGATCAAAAAAGAGGGTTTACAATTCGTGGAGCAGTCTATAAACATCTGCAAAGTCAAATTTGATGTTTGACTGGGCTTTACACTTTTCAAGCCAATGCCTAGGGAGGCTAAATAAATCAACCAAAACTGAGGTGCAAAGTTCCAATAAATCATTGAAGTACTTTATCAAATATGATCACGGGAGGGCATTAGTTAATTTTTTTAGATAAAGAATGAGTGCTTTAATAACAGATGTTTCATTCAAGCTGAGAATCAATTTCTGTAGTCTCACAGTCTGTGTTGCTGAGAAGCTCAAAGTGTCCAGAGTGTCTTCTGGCATGAGAAATGTTTCCCTTCAGGCATCTGAGGGAGGAGACATACTGAATATTTGGTACCAGTCCCCACCCCTCCCTGGGGGCAGGCAGATATAACAGCATTCAGTTTGTTTAATCTTCGTTCCTTAACACTTAAAACCCTTTGTACTGAGTGCACTGCTATGCATTAAGTTATTACTGACACAGATTGTACACCTGTACGTGTGTTTCCCTGGTAGAGAGGAATATTCCTCATTCTGGAGTGTTTGCTAAGCATTGTAAAGAATATATTTAGATTGTCATGATATTGACTGTGTACAGCAGGTAACAAGGGCAACTTATTTGTCTGTTCTAATGTCAGAAGCAGCAGTGTTGACAGCTGCTTTTAATTAAACAAGGAAGCTTGTTAATGTTTACACGTTACATAACTGAAGATGTTTAGATTGTTTTAGAAACTGTAAGTTTAACTCATTTGAAGTTATACAATGTACATCCCTAGTTGTTTCCTGTTACCTGTGCAATCTTAACCTGCTGTCTTAATTGTGTTACCATGTCTGTGTCACAGGACACCCACAGTGATGGTGGCCAGATCCCTTACTCATTCTGTTCTCCGTGGGCTTCTTGTTCCAAAGAAAGAAAATAGAAGCTTTTTGCTTCTTTGGACCATTCCATGTTCTCCAGTCAACTTATTTTCTTTTTTCCTGCTTTCATTCAATTTTCTTCCTTCCCTTACGACTGATTTCTGCAGGGTGGACTACAAGAGCAAGTGAATGTCACAATCAAAATAGAGAAGAACATAAAAGCTTGCTGCAGCTACAAAATACAGGTAGGATCTCACTCTTGTCCCTGTGTCCTTCCTTCACAAAAAAGGCAATGAACAACTTAGGAATGTTACAGGGTTTTGCACACTATTTTGTTCTGAGATTGACTAATCTCTAATTACCTGTATTAAGGAAATACTGATTATGGCTGAAAGGACAATATTTTTTATATAGATGTTCTCTGTAGTCTGTGGCTTTTCCTTAGCATAGGGCTGCCAAGTCAGAGACTGTGGAGTGGGAATGGCAAGTGTGCAACCTCAGGAGCTCCCAACCTTCTTAATATCTACTGTCAGAATCCTTGATCAACTTGTCCACTGAAGAGAAATGGGAGTTCTGTGTCCCTGTGCTAAAATACAGGAAATGTTGAGGCAGGGGGGAAGTAAAGCAGGGAACAAAATTGCTTTTAAGAATAACTTATGCTTTCTGAATTTATTTCAACTGCAGATTCAGCCATTCTTTGCAAACTGTGGCACAGACTGTCTGAGACACTCTGCTTTCATCCCATGTCCACCAGCTCCAAGTGAGAACCACTTTTCTGTAATCTAGACTCCCATTGGCTTACAGAGGAGAGCTGAATTTTTAATGTAATTCTTGTCTTTTGCAGGTGCAGACCCATCAGGTAAGAAGTTATTCTGATACCCTGAATCTTTTTTTTGCTGCTCTTTTCCTGTTGTGTAGCATGAAAAATTATCCTCCCTGGGAATGACCCAATGAAATGTCCTTGTTGAAAATTTTATATTGTTTGAAGGTAGGTGAGTGCTTGTTTGACATAAGTAGCCAGAATTGTTGGGCTGCAAGTTGAACTTTTTCTGAATTATATGGCTGTGTTGTGTAAGTTAAAGACAGATCACAGTGAAACCTGGAGCTAACAGTCTGAATGTTAATAATAGTTAGAATAGACAAAGCTATAGCTTAAATATTATTTATAATAGAGTAAACAGGTCATGGTGTATGAAATGTAGGAAACCTATTGTATCATGGACTATATCACCCATGTGACTGTATCACCCAAGCCCCCACTGAAACCAACCTCAGAGGATGTGAAGATGAGCACATGACAACCACTTGGTAACAAAACACCAAACCAGTGAAGGGTGAGGAGACCCCACACCCTAATCGTGCTGTTGCTCCAGACTGTTGTGTGAGGGATGGGGAATTTAGGTCATCAGGGCATAATTGCCCAAGGATTTCTTTGTTTGGTGTCCCTCTTTGGAGGCACCAAGGTCAAACTACCGGATACCATAACTGAGCTGTGCCAGTAGATCTGTCTGATGGAGATGAGAGCCTAGTGTCAAAAATTTCTCTAACAGTCCTCATGTAACACCGAGTTCAGAATTAATTGTGCTAAGAATTACTTCACCATGATTTAATGAGGCAAGTATTCGTATGCAGTGTGAACCTTAAAGAGCAATTTCTTTTTTAGATACACTTCACTTGCATAGAATTCTTTGAGAAGCAGTTTTGACAAGAAGAGTCTTAATATAAAATACTTTCTGTCACTTTGCTCAGTGTTAAAAAATTTGCATAATATAAAGCAGCTTTTGGAGAGAATAGCTTGCATATATTCATTTTCATGAATGTCAAGATAACTTGTGCATAATGATTTGACATCTTTTTTTTTTTTTTTTGGCTGCAGCACCTGTAAGGAGCTGGTTTGCCCAAGATTGGGAAAAAAACCCCAAAACCAAACCTGTAGACTGAAAAAATACATGACCCAAAATGGTGATATTGTTTTTTTGATTTTTTTTTTTTAAGATAGATTACATGAGCAGGCAGGACATGGGCGGCGTGCCTGTCAAAGCTGGGTAAACACTGCTATTTAGAGGAAGGTTATTGATCTGTGTTTTCAGTGTGCTGCACATATGGTTCTTTGTGTGGAGCAAGCTGATGGTGTAGAGCAGCATCATGAAAGCAGGAATTCATTTTGAGAAGTGACTGTATATTGTAAGAGGGAAGTGCTGGTCTACCCATGGTTTTGGGCACAACCAGGGTCCTCCTCCCTTGGCCCCCTCTGCTCAAGAAACTTCTGCTCTTTGGTGAAGCTCTGTTTGTGTAAGGCAATGTCTGAGGAGTATTTTTGTACTGCAGGTGATATGTTTATATGGCTCTACTGGTGTATCACTGGGATCTGTGTGTTACTGGTGGGATCAGTCATAGCAGGTGTGGTGTGTATGACTAAAAAACGAGCAGGTAAGACTCATACCAGCTAGGAAGAAAAAAATTCAATGCTAAAGCTATATTTTTCCTACTTCTGTTGCTGTTTTGTTCCTTGCCGTTCTGATGCCTTACTGCTGAGATAATGCCTATGTAAACCCCTTTTTCTGTTTTGTTTCTTAGCACTTGTAACTTCCTGATACCATCCACTAGATAAGTAAAGTCTTCCATGAGTTATGCTGTCTGGTACTTCATGTTCTTCATACACAAGTTCATAGCACTTCAGAGCTCATAAAGGAAAAGGAACTTTGTAGTTCAGCCCTCATGCTGCAGAAATCTTTTCTATTTATTTTTCTCCTGCATTGCAGCAGAGTTTTCCAGAACAGAAGCCCTGTTTGTCCACACTGTAGTCTTTTCCCTGATCCAGAAACTCTACAAAATTAATTTTTGTACTATTTAGGGCTTAAATAATGTTTTTCAATTAAGGTGGAAGGGAAAAAAACAGGACACAGAGGTTGACATCAAGCAAGCTGGAAAATTGGGTACTTAAGGGCTAATTCCTAGTGGTTTTGTGCTGTAGCTGTGAGGCAGTTACCACAGGGAAGCTGTGTAACTCACAGCTTAAGTTTTTCTTTTTCACCTGAGAGGAATAATTGGTAATCTTTTGGAAAATTTCTTAACACGTCAGACTTACAGATAAGATGTAGCTGGGGACATTTTGGTCACCTCTTCAGAGAAACCTCTTAAGAAAAAGCCATCTTTAAAAATGCCCTTTCTCTTTAAAGAGTGGTGGCAGAACAATTGGATGTTCTGTACTTCTTGAGAATGAATGGATCTAGGGGAGATAGAGAAAGTTTTTTTTAAGTGCATTCTGTCTTCTCTCAAAGGAAAAGTACTTAGCAAAGTATTTGTTCAGTATATTTTTTATTAGGCTTCTTCCTCCCTATGGTTTTATCTCCCTGCACGACTAAGGATTGTTTATTTAACTTAATCTGTGGAAGGTGTTGTGATTTTAAGCACTTAATCTTATGTCTCAGAACTGACTGTGACTTTCTCTCTCTTCCAGGACGCCGACGAGGGAAAACCAACCACAGTGATTTGCAAACTGGTAAGATGTCCTGCCTGTGTTTTATCAAGCAAGTGTCATGTGTTCTAGAAGTCTCAGACAGTTGTCCAGAAGGGGTTGTCAAAGGGTCTGCTATTCTATAGGTGCTTCTGAAAACCAACAGGTAGTGTTAGGATCTTTGCTGGTACAGGCCATGGCAGCAGGAGATTGGTTTGGGCTGGGTACACTCAGGTCTCCACCAGAGAATATAGCTACATCTGCAAACCTCTTGAAGCTGATGTATTATTTTTGTGTGGTGAAATTCGATGAACCATCTGGGCATTATTATAAGTCACAGCTCCCCTGTCTGTACTTTCATATTAAATTTATACAACGAGATGTTGTCCACACGCATCACCAAAATAGCATTGAAGCTGATAGTCACCAGTACCTTTCGTTAATATCTATGTTGATTACTGCTGACTTGCACCATTACAATTTTGGGAATGTGGCTGCAATTAATATTTTTCTGTCTTTCATCAGCACCATATACCGACCTCTCCCTGCCGCCCTTGAAGCCCCGGAAGGTTTGGATTGTGTACTCTGCTGACCACCTGCTGTACGTGGACGTGGTGCTGAAGTTTGCTGAGTTCCTGATGACAGTCTGTGGCACTGCTGTAGCCTTAGACCTGCTAGAAGATCATCAGATCTCGGAGTTAGGGCCGTTGCCCTGGCTTACTCGGCAGAAGAAGGAAATGGAAGACCTGTCTTCAAAGATCATTATCTTGTGTTCTCGGGGCACCCAGGCCAAATGGCAAGCCATGCTTGGGAGTGAGCCTGTGTGTCTCAAGCAAGATCAGCAGAAGCCAATGGGAGACCTGTTCACCCCAGCCTTGAATTTGATCCTGCCAGATTTCAAGAAGCCAGCCTGCTTTGGGATGTACATAGTCTGCTACTTTGAGGGAATAAGCAGTGAGAAAGATATACCTGATCTGTTCAATGTCACATCCAGGTACCAGCTGATGGACAAGTTTGAGGATATTTATTTTCGGATTCAGGATTTGGAGAAGTTTGAACCTGGACGGATCCATCGAATCCAGGAAATCACGGCTGAAAATTATGTCGATACCCCCAGTGGGAGGAAGTTGAAAGAGGCCATACAGAAGTTCAAGAACTGGCAGACTGAGCACCCGGACTGGTTTGAGAGGGAAACCATCTGCTTGGATAATGATGAAGAATTGCATTCCCTAAACAGAGAGAGCCAGGTGGATTCATTGCTGAGTGAATCGAGTGGGATCGTGAAACACCAGCTGCACCTGCGTGAGCCTGACCCCAACTGCTGTTATGTCATCAACCTCCACATGCATGAAGGTGAAAATACAGGCTGTAAACTGCAGCCTCAACTTAATCCATGTGGGGATCCAGCTTCTCAGACTGTGGTCCTTCCTGTGGATGAGGCTCCTCTAGTTCAAGTAGTGGAGCCAGTCTCTCCCGTGGAAGACAGAAATGTACTTAGTCATCATGTGCTGAGTAATGAGGACTGTATGGAAGGAGTTCCTCTTCTGGAGACAAGCTTTCCAATGAGGAATAACGTCATCCTCCACGATGACTCTGACGTTTCAGCAGTAGCTGACCACAGTCCTGCCAACCTCTCAGGTGAACTGAGGGACCATCTGAATGGGTTTATGTACCCTCTTTATCAACAGAGTGTCGTTCCTTCAGAGCTGTATCTCTGCCAGGAGGAGGCTGACGGGCAGCACCAGTTGGTCTTTGATGACCAGTGCAAAGACCAAAGACAGTCAGTGCAGTCAGACCAGGGCTACATCTCTAGATGTTCTCCTCTGCCTCCTGATGACCTCGTAGAGGAGGAGGAGGAAGAGGAGGAGGAGGATCAAGAAAAACAGGTAGTCTCCCATGAACTCTCTCCAGAGGTCTTGAACAGTCTAAGGAGCCTCCAGAAGCAGCTGTTTTTCCAGGACATTCAGAGGAGCTCTAACTGGAGCTATCCAGCTGAGGTGATGGACACTGACCAATCTCTGGAGGACTGTTAGGTTCTGTCTGGGACCTGCTCCATTTGAAATACAGAGGTGGAAGGTGGTCCCGTGCAGAATACTGAAACTGCATTTCCAACACCATCCTTGTCCTTGTATTGTAAATGACTTAGCAGTGGGATCTGTCTGCTGGTGGGATGCAGGGTTGCCCAGCAGACTGGTGATGTTGCTTCCAGTCTCTGTGGGGAGAAGCAATGAATATTGCTCACCTCTGTGAAAGAACAGGCAGTAGCTCTGTTCCTTGGGGAAAGGCATTAAATTGAATCCTCACTGATAGATGGCAGAAAAATTACTGTGGCTTATCCACTCGTGCCTTCAAAATGCCCTCCAGCTGAACTGATTCTATTGCACTGGATAAAAGTCATGGCCAGGGTTTGGAAAATAGATTTAGATGGCATGGCAAAGTGTGCATTGCCATTTCCATACATATTTTAAATGTTTTGTTGTAAATACTGTGTCAAAGATGTGTGCCTTAAATCTCAGCTAGATTAGTGCTGTTTCTACCTGTTGATTCATATGCCTGAAGACTTTTCTTTTGCCACTCATCCATTAATTTGCAGCTGCATTTCCATGGTCATTCAGAAATCAAGTGGAGTAACTGAGCAGTAGGTGGGATAAACTTTTAAATTGTGAGTCTTCATAACTCTGCCTGCCTCCCTGCTGGGAGGTATGGGCTTGAAAACTAGCAATAGCAGGAAGGGGGAAAAGGGAGATAAAGGACCAAAAAATGGAATTTGGAGTTGTTGCACAATTTTAAGAAAAATCCGGGGCTAAATAGAGAATCTTTGAATTGGAAATCTGCTGTATCCTGCTACACAGTGCTGCAGTGCCGTTTGCTTTTGGGTGTCTTGGCACCGGGGAGATGTGAACTGAAGATGTAGGTAGTGGCACACAATTAAAGAAATGAAAGACTACTTTGGAGGAGAAAAAAGCTCAGCTTCAGCAGACACTGTTTTAGAGCGGAGGTTATATCTGAGTTATGGGAGGCTGAGTGGAAATGACTGTAACATGTACTTGTGTGGGTATAAACTCAAACACAGGTAGTTCAGGTTAACCATAATGAAATACTGAATAGACCAAGGGGTTCATCCTCCAGGAGCAGTGATGGTAACTCTGTCAGTTCCAGTGTTTTTTAAAAATGGGGCTGAATGCACTAGAAAAAAATTGTTACCTGTGAGTAATGGCACATTGGCCCTTGTAGCACTGGCTGGGTAGCAGACTAGCTGAGGTTGGCATTTACCCTGTTTCTTATCACTGTTTCTGCAGCCCAGTGGACAACAGCCTGTGAGATATAAATACACCCAGGTCTTTCTCCTGTGCCTTCAGACAAGCTTGTCGTCTTCCTGTCCTTCAAAGTTTACTTGTCAAAAAATCTTAGGATAATTTTATTTCAGCTTTTTAAAAGTCTGATGTCTCAGAGAATAATCTAGTTTGTGACTTGCAATGAATATTTTATTATGTATATTTTATAATTTTGTGAATTGTGGGGGTTTTCCTTAAATTAAAAACCAAGAATACCTTTTGAATATATTTACTTAAAGAGTTCTATGTCCTCCATTCTGCCTAACTCCTTCTGTTAGTATTTGTTATAGAAATCTGAGGCAAAGCTGAGCCAGAACTGAAGTGGCTCACAAATGCCAAAAAATTCCTGCAAAGCATGGCAGCTGTATTGAGTTGAGCTGGATACAACTGAGGGCCCTTACCTGTGGGAAGAGCACATCCCTTCAAAAGGAATGTCAAAGGAATTGTTAGTAATTCCCATGCACGACTGCTCCATGAGACAGGACTGCTAAGACAGCTGCTTTCTCTGCAGCCAGATGACAAAGGGACAGTCCCTGCAGAGATCCAAACTTAAGACTGGGAGCCTTCCTGCCTCTACAGGATCTAACCCAGCAGGAGCTAAGCAAGAGGCAGCTGTGATCTCAATGCTTCTCCAGTGAGAACCCATTTCCCAGATTATGTGAGTAATTGCCATCTTGATGATCCCACTTCTAAAAGTTTCTTTTATCTTAAAACAATTAACATGTAAATCTGATTTTTTTTTCCCATGAGTCTTTTTCAAGTGGTATGAATTCCTATAAATCACTTAAATAGGAAGCTCAGAAGTGTCATCTGGATTTTCTTGCCTTAGTCATTCCCTTCTCAAATAACTCCCTTGGTGTTACAGCTCTTAGAATTTGCTTTCACTCCCAAAAAGTTTGTTTGAAGGGAAAATCCAGGCGCTATTTTAGCAATCCAATATGAGGAAAACAAGTAACTTTAATGCATCTGTTGGTCCCTGAATACAAAATTGAATAGCCCAGCAAAACTTAAAGAAAAAAAAAAGGAGCAAAATCAGTCACAAGTTTCTAACTTTATTTTAACAATCTTGCTTTTTAAAAAATACAAGTTCTAATTAATGCCAGGGGGATGCCAAGTGTCCATCAGCCACAGGCCTTATCTCTCACTTCAGTTTCCCCTCCTGAGAGTAGTCAACTCTTTTGTCAGGATAGCAAACAAAGAGCAATAAAATTCTAAATAACTGAGTAGTGTTACAAGGCTCGTGACAGAATCCCAAGGGACCTACGTCTTAGTATGGCACAGTTTTGTTTAGCAAAGTGTTACTGACCTGGACCAGTAATTTAATGTTGGGAGAATATACAGTAGGTGTGCAAGGTGCATCAAGAGAGGTATTGCTTGTACTTTAATAGTACCACTATCTCTCTTTTCTGCAAACAGATCTGTTACGTGGCAGAGGGGTTTAAATGGAAGAGTGAGCTCAATTACCAAAGAAAAGGGAATTCAAAAGGTGGAGCAGGCTTATAAACAAGACATTGAAGAGCTTTAAATGGTTTTCTGTAGGAAGTAATTGCAGTAGCAGCAGAGGTGCCCTTTTAGTTGCAAGGAGGCTTCTGTATAGCCAACTACTACAAGAGCTTTATAGTCTCCAAACAGCACATCTACTACCAGCCTAGAAACCGTGGCACCACAAAGAACAACTTTTTCTACCAAGGAATTCTATACAACAGAAGCATCATTTTGCAGGGTCGTCTGTCCCAGGCAACCTTTTCATCCACGGACAAAGTTGAACTGTGATTTCACTGCCAACAATTTAAGTATGCCATGGCTAGATAAATTTCAAATATGCCATTTTTCTCAATAATGTCCTAACTGGAAAAAGGCACTCAATGTTGAAACAGCAACTTTATGTGCTATGAAGGGGTACTGAAGTAAGACTTGTTAATAATTCTGCTGTGATTCTTCTAGTGTCTCAACTATGTTCACACTTCAGCATATCGATGCTATCGTGAAGTTGGCCATAGGAGCAGCAAAACATAGTTGTTGAATAGCTTTTTTATCTTCACCTTGTTTTGGGCAGTGTTTGTTGTTTGGGGATTTATTTTTTATTTCTTCAGCTGTTTGACTGAAGCATGGAGTAGTCCTAGGTTCAGGTGTCACCTCATTCTCTCTTGAGTAATTATTTCTGAGATTTTACTGTCTACTTAATGCTGAAAAAGGAAGGTGCAAGGAAACAAATATCTGTACAAGAATAATACACCTGTAATTACACCTCCTTTGGCCAGGAACTTAGCATCCCCTCGACACATTTCACATCACACAGGAAAAGTTCACAGTACCAAGTTTTACAATCACAGTCACTCACAGCACCAAGATTGTCCAGACAAGAAGAAGTTACCGAAGAGAAAGGCCACTGGCCAAAATTCACACAATTGCCCACGTAAGGGCTCAGGTAATAAAGCACTGGTGGGAAAGTTAAGCCTAGCCTTTGCCAACTCTCCGTTTGGCGGGAGGAGAGCAGCAAGTCCCCCATCCTAGCTGCACTTCTGAACAGAACAGCACTATTGACCCATCTTCCAGGGGCTTTTCTAGCCCCTCAAAACCCACCAGCCACTGAGAGCTGGGGGAGAAGAGCCCCATGGCATCCCTGCTTCTGCCTCTGGGAGCTGGAAGTTACCAGACTGTAAACATTTTGTTGTAGCAGTCCACTGGAGCAGGCAGTTGATCCCACTCTGTGAAAAGGAAGGTGGGACAGAGGCTCAGTCCCACTGAAGCCCAAGCCCTGAAGGAGAGAATGAATGTGTGTGCGGAAGAAGTCTGGGCTGTGCCTGCAGTCCTGCTCTGGGTAGCAGGTGGTTGTGCTTTATTTCTCCTTCCCATCAGGACAGCTCGAAAAAAAAATTTGGGACAGGAAACTGTCATTTTTCACAATTATTGCAGCCTTGCCCAGATAACAAAACATAAGCCTGGGAGGGGCAAAGTCCTTCCTCCACATGTGGCCTGGTGCTCCTGCTCCCAGGGGGCTGGTTTCAGGAGCAGCTGCAGCCAGGCAGAAGAGCAGGCCTTAACCCCACCGAACATTCATGGAGCTTAAAACCAAAGAAAACTGTTTCTATGAGAGGTTACTAACAATTAAGTTTTTCCCCTGCCTACCCTAAACCACATGCACAAGGAGGACAGGATGCTGATACGTGGGCTTTCACCAAAGCTCGGGGAGCCCCTCTGCCTCAAGGGCTCCTGCAGCACTTTGCTTTCTGTGCTGAAAAGTGAGGTTCACTGAGCATGGGGCCCACCCTGAGCAGCGCCAATGTCCTCTGCTTTGCTGTTTGAGAGGGGGCAGCTTGCAGGCTTAACCCTGTCTCTACTCTCTTAAGCAGGCATGGAAGGGGGCCAGAGGAAATCTTTCCAGCCTTTCTGGCTGTGTAAAGGAAGACCCTACACTCTGTGTAAAAAGAAAACCAATGCTGATCCCATAAACATGCATATTCACAGAGAAATGAGAGCCCCAGCACCTGGGGCTGCAAGCAGTAGGCTGCTGTAAACCCTGTTCTCACCAGAAATAAATGTCTTGGTGGTTATGAAATGGGGCCTAAGCCCAGGTTCATGTCCATGCTGGATTCATGTTTCTTCAGCATGTGAAGTCAATGTAAGATGCAAAAGGTTGAAGCACAGAGGTAGACATTTTTGGCTAGGAGAAGGTGGCTCATGGGCTTGAAGTGACCAGTCGGCCAGCGTGCTTCCAGAGGTTCCCCAGCTGGGATGCAAAGGCCTGGGAAACAGAGGCAGCAGCTTTGCAAGACCTAGGGAAGCCAAAGCGAGCTTCCTTCTGTCCTTCCTGCATCCCGGAGGAACGTCTCTGCTGGTCAGGCCCCTGTCGCATCTCATTGTTGTGGACAGCAGGAGTTCTTAAAAGAGGGGACAAAATGCACTGGTCCCTGTTGTTTAGAAGGAAAAGGAAAAACTAAAGTTTTATGGTCACAATGCAACACAATGTCCTGGCAGGGAGCGGGAGGGGAAGAATGAGACCCTCCAGACAGGGGAGAGACAGAAGCACTCGAAGAAGTCCTGTCCTGAAGGGCAGATGCGTTTTCCGGGGACAACTGTCATCCGTAGGCTCCTGCAGGTAGTCGGGTTTGTGCGGAGCTTCCGCTGCTGGATTCGTCCATGAGAAAGGGAGGAGAGGAGAGAGAGTCTGACAGGGAAGCCCACGTCCCCTTCCCCTGCTCGGCCACGGAGACAGGAACCTGAGCAGAAACGCAGAGAGACTCTGCCGGGAGCGGACCCGGAGGCGGCGGGAGCCCCTCCGGGGGCGGCGGCCAAGGGGGCTCAGCCCTGGGCGGTGACCGCCAAGGCGTTCACGTACCCGTGGGGTCCCACGTCCACGTCGGAGAGCCCGTGGGCCAGCGGGGCGGCAGCGGGGGCGGCGGCGGCGGGGCCGTACTTGGCGGGCGGCGGGGCGGTGACGGGGCGGAGGAGGCAGCAGGTCTCCAGCGCCTCCAGCCCGCGGCAGGTCAGGAAGAAGAGGTTCTTCAGCATGAAGAGGGAGAGCGGCTGCTGGTAGCGCAGGAGCAGGAGGCAGCGGAGCGCCAGGAGCGGCGCGTCCAGCAGCCCGGCGGGCAGCAGGAGGTGCAGGGCGAGGCGGGCGGCCCCGGGCGGGCGGGCGGCGCTGAGCTCGTAGAGCCACAGCACGGGCGAGGCCAGGCAGAGGAAGTAGACGGCGATGAGCAGGTAGCGCAGCGGGGCGGGCAGCGGCGCCGGCCGCCCGGGCTGCAGCACCAGCTCCAGAAGGGAGAAGCTGTCGAGCAGGTCGAGGCAGGTGGCGAGGAAGGCGGCGGCGGCGCGGTGCTGAGGCGGCGGCTGCGGCGGCAGGAGCAGCTGCCCGGCGCCCTCGGTGCCGATGGCCCGCAGCAGGCAGTACAGCAGAGGCGCGGACAGCGCCAGGGTGATGCGGAAGCCGGTGGTGCCCAGCGGCAGACGCAGCTCGATCAGCTCCAGGATGGAGGTCCCCAGGATCAGCGCCGCCTTGGGCGTGAAGGCGATGGAGTAGATGAGCCAGGCGAGGTGCGCGTAGGCGAAGTCGCCGCCGCGGGGGGGGACCCCGGCCCCGCGGCCCCCGGCCCCGCGGCCGCCGGGGGGGCCGTGCAGCAGCAGCGGGTGCGGTGGCGGCGGCCCGGGGGGCGGCGGGGGCCGCTCCCGGCGGCGCGCCCGGCTGTTGCGGCAGAAGAAGATGCCCCAGCCGGCCGCCAGCACCAGGTCGGTGGCGATCCAGCTGCACCAGTACAGGTCGGTGACGGCGATCAGGTAGAGGTCCAGCAGCGCGCCCTGCCCCAGCAGCAGCACCAGGGACAGCGCCTGGAAGCCCCAGCGGCGACCGCCCCCCGCCCCGCCGGGCCCCAGCAGCGCCCCCGCCGCCGCCCCGCCGCCCCCCGCCCCGCCACCCGCCGCCGCCGCCCCGTACAGCTCCGCCGCCGTCATGCTGCGGCCCGGGCTCCCGCCGCCGCCGCCGCTGCTGCTGCTGCTGCTGGGGAGCGGCGAGGCGGCGGCGGGCAGCGGGGTGGCGGGCGGCGGCACCAGGGGCTTGCTGATGCTGATGCTGTCCTCCTCCTCCTCCTCCTCCTCCTCCTCCTCCTCTTCTTCCTCCTCTTCCTCGGTGCTGCTGCGGGGGCTGCGGGGGCGGCGGGCCCTCGCCGAGCCCGAGCTCGACCCCGAGCCCCGCCGGCTGCCGCCGCTGCTGGAGCCCCCCGGGAAGAGGGGCTGCCGGTCGGCGGCGTGCGGCGGCAGCGGCGGCGGCGGCGGCGGCGGCGGCGGCTGGAAGGAGCCCGAGGAGGAGGAGACCGAGCGCTGGTTGGAGGCAGCGCGGTGCAT